GTCTCTATCTTAAGGTTATATATCCGATACAAGTAATTTCCATAGCCTTCGCGTGCAGGGCAACTGTGTCTCTATCTTAAAGGTAATATTTTCAAACTAAGCAATTATCCTTACCGCCATGCAGGGCAACTGTGTCTCTACCTTAAAGGTAATATTTTCGATACAAATAATTGTCATTACCTTCGCATGCAGGGCAACTGCGTTTCTATATAAAGATAATATTTCCGATACAACTAATTTTCATTACCTTTGCATGGAGGGCAACTGTGTCTCTATCTTAAAGGTAATATTTCCGATACAACTAATTTTCATTACCTTTGCATGCAGGGCAACTGTGTCTCTATCTTAAAGGTAATATCTTCGATACAACTAATTTTCATTACCTTTGCATGCAGGGCAACTGTGTCTCTATCTTAAAGGTAATATCTTCGATACAACTAATTGCCATTACCTTCGCATGCAGGGCAGAGATTTCCAACAGCAGTGTTGACGGTTTTCATCTGTTTTATGGCAGCCTCAAAGAGCTTCTTCAGTGATTTCAGTTCAATTTCCAAACTGGACTTTCTGAGACCCGAAACAACCGTGGGTTTAGAATATGACCAAGTATAACTGACACAGCCGAGAACAAACAAAAGTGACGCCACCAGCTTCATGGTTATACGACTTCACGACTGTGACACATCAGCAGATCTTTCACAAATATACTCCAGGTTTGTGTTTTGGCGCACCGATTTATATATCGTTCCATTCACTCAACCAAACACGATTTTTCTGTAGTCAGTGCTTATACTGCCTGAAGTCTATCATGATGATGAAAACGGAGAACCCGTTCTCGAACATTTGAGAGTGGAACGGACTCACTTAGCGAGAGAAAAACAGAAAACCACTGCCCGGGGGGGGGGGGGTAATTCTTTTGTCATTAGCCTTCTTCGTTATCATTCATCCGTTAAATTATAGGAAGATAAAGATTCTGAATATTGCAAATGCGTAAACATAGCCTCTGTCTGCTTAACACCACGCTTCAGCATCAGTATTCGGTTGGTCACCAGGTACAGTTCAGTTAATGGATTTGAACCAATCAAAAAAATCTGATTTAAACTTTTAAATTAAAAGAAATTCCTTTTAGAGGTATTATACATCAGTTGTTCAATTATTCTAATGCACATTGAATTTCCCAAATACAAATTATAAATTCATGTAGGAGCACACAACATTCGCTTGAAATGTCCTTTTAGCTGAGTGAATGAATATTGTTTAGGGCCGCATGCTGTCTAAACGACTTGTATACGTATTCGGGTTTTGAAGATATACGTACGATACATACCCTCTCCAAAGATGTGTTGTTTGTTGGTTTGTTGTTTAACAGCAATATTCCAGCTCTGTGGTGACGGTCTGTAAATAATCGATTCTGGACCAGACAATCTTGTGATCAACAGCATGAGCATCGGTCAACGCAACTGGGATACGATGCCACCTGACTGAGAGTCTGGCCACCCGATCCCGTTATTGCTGAAGATAAATTCTAACTCAGATATTCAAGGGTTCTTTCCTAAGAACACTATACAGTACGATACATGAAAACAAGTTCAAACCACCCATAACTTGTAGTACATTTAAGTCATGTTTAGTTTAAAGGGCTCTCCATGAGTGGATGTGTTAAAACACATTGTCAGTCATCACCGAAGATATGTTTTAGAAAAGGCTCATTGGGTATTTCGGATGGGAGTACCTTTCAAGCATCCAGTAAACTTGTCTCGGCAACTTAGTGGATCGGGTGGTCAACCTGGTTGACTTACAGGCACCATAAGTGCCATTTATACCCCGACGTGGATCATTACTCATAACTTCAGTCATATAAGATTGACGGGCCAGACTCACACAGGCCGCCATGTTACATTGCCATGACCATTGCATAGTGCCGAGTGCAGCGTTAAACAAAAGTAAAACGCTGAAAAAAACAAGCACTATACCTATTTGCACATTAGTATTTTAATGTAACAGTGGCTTGTGGCCTCTCCACGCCATACAGGTAAGAAACTGAATTTCTACCCCGGTACACGCTATATATGGGGTCATTGGGACAATGGGGTAATAAATGCCGGCCTGAAAACTAGTGGTTAAGCCGTCAGAGAACGCCTTCAATATTGAATGTTTCGGGTTGTCAACAGTACCACCTTTGTTCATTAATGATGAACCAATTGAGACAGTCACTGAATACAAGTACCTTGGAACTTTTATTGATAGCGGGTTAACGTGGAACACCAACACAGATGCCCTGTATAGTAATGTCAACCACGCCTCCATCTAATGCACAAACTACGATCTTTTAATGTTTCCCAATCTGTTATGATGTTGTTTTATACCGCTTTTATTCAGAGTATACTCACTTTTTCTTCTCAGTGCTGGTTCGAGTCTCTTTCAGTAAAAAAACAAATCAAAAACTTAACAAAATTGTAAATACAGCTTGTAAAATAGCCGGGGTCATTTTCGATAATCTTTCACTTCTCTATGAGCGGCAAGTACTTTCAATGTTTGAAAAAAATCATTAATGGCACAACACAATTTTTAAATCTTGAGTATAAGCTTTTACCTTCGGGCCGCCGCTATACAGTGGCAATCACCAAGACTACACCAGCTCGAACGTCTATTGTACCTCAAATTATTGCAATTTTAAACAAATGTTGAATGTCCAGTTATCATCTTTTTCATTTAATTATATTTAAGCACATCTTTCTATGCTTTTAGTAAAGTCATACTTTATGTTGTTATTCATTTGTATTTTTGTCAAGCTCTGTGATCCAAAACGAATTCCTTTTAAAGTATTAAAGTATTGTCTGCCTGTCATTGTGTCCTTTTTTATGGGCAAATCCAATATATTTGCCATATTTACGCGCTCTACGCTTTCATTGATGAATTAATGAAGTCATATCCATCGAAAAATAAATGAGTGCAACGTTTCGGTGTAAGCACTAACACCGTTATCAAGCAAATGATAACCTACACCGAAACGTCGCACTCATTGCAATAAAGAACGGGTGCGGATCCAGGTTTTTGGAGAATTGGGTGCACTTAAATCATGAAGTCTAAAGGTTTGAGGAAAATGCTCCCCCCTGAAGAAGTTGACTGTCCATACAACTTGATTTTCCTTCGTCTTTACAACTTCTAATATGCCTCTCAAAGAAGCACATTAAGTTGCCTGAGATGACACGCCGTTATACAACTGAAATACTGTTCAAATCGACCGCGTAAACCAAACTCATTCACGCTCGCAGAGAGGGAGCGCCGCGACGAAAACTAGATTTACATCTATAATCTACCGCTTCTCGTGCGTTATGAAATCCGTACATTAGACGGTCTCTAGTCTGTCAGATGCTCTACGCATGCGTCCGACATTTTTGTTGTTAGGTAGTTGGGAGAGACGTAAACTGTAATTTTTAGGACGATTATACTTATGTAACGTTAACAGGACGAGACAAAATGTGAAGCAGGTGTAAATGAAATATGTTTGTCATCGTTATATCATCCTGAATACTTTATTTCTCTATTAGGATTCGAGTAAACACGTCTTGTATATTTGTATACACCGTTGCTATTTTGTGATCCCGCGCTTGACGGGGACAAGTGCTTGGAGTTTTGATTACTGTTTCCGCCCATCGCAGGGGAATTAACCAAGAAGAAACTATTTGTGGATGTTTAATATCAAGTGACAACAACCTAATCAATACCCACAACAGGTAATTAGCGTTATGGTTCTCTTTGTTGAACCTGCTGTATAAAAATACATCATTTTACGATAAATGTCCAGTTTTCGATACCCCATAATACTTAACACATTAAAGCTGATAGGCCAGATATAACACAGAACCATTGTACGATTATTTTGTATTTTTATCAGGCATATATTTTTTTTATTTTTAGATATTATACGATCTGGTTTTCCCGGTCTATGTTAGATATGTTATGATTGGGGCGAATACGATGTCAGTGACCATGGTGTGGACCATGTTTATGCCTGTTGTGTCTCATTACTAATTTGCTATAGTGATACAACTATCAATGGGCATACAGGTCTGATACATGCTTGGTACCTTGTCTGAGTTTAAACAGACCCATGAAGATCCGGGTTAGAACTGATCTTTAGTAACCCTAGCCAAAGCCGCGATGGAGGACTGTATAGGACCGCATCGCGGCTCTTGGTTACAGTAACCCATGCTTTTTGTAAGAGGCTACTATCAGGATCGGGTGGTCAGGCTCACTGACTTGGTTGACACATGTCATCGTATCCCAATTGTATAGATCAATTTCATTATGTTGATCACTGAATTGTCTGGTCCAGACTCGATTATTTACAGACCGTCGCCATATGGCTGGAATATTGCTGATTGCAGCGTAAAACTAAACTCACTCATTCAGTCACTGACTGTAAACATGCCACTTCAAGCTAAATTTTCATACTCAAGATATTTCCTTAACCAAGTAGTCTACACATCTTGCTGACAATTGTTTTCCTTTATATGTCATATTATCTGTGTTCAAATCTCTAATATATAGGACTGCATGGTATTATTGGTTTACCACAATATGCTTTTAAATCGATACATATTGTAATACATTATGTCAGTTCAATCTATATATTGGGTAAAAAATTATGTGAAGTTATGTGATTATATCTATGGTTTATATCATGACTGGTGTTTCCTTTCGTAATTTATTGATAAAATGGCATACATTACATACATATTCTGAAATATTTCTCAACATTACCCTACTTGACAGAAAGAACAACATATTGTCTGATGAAAAAACTCTTAGAAATAAAACGTTTTACTTTTCTTGTTTCATTTAAGCATGATAATCAGAAAGTTGAAGTGGCATTTTGGAGTTTTGGAAATGTCCAACCTACCACAGAAAATAATGTTGAAAGTTGTGGTAAAATGTCATTAGTCAGCATGATCAGTATCTTGTCAATGTTTCAGATAAGTCAACCTTCAATATCAAGGATGACTGCTGCTGTGTATGACAATGACATCGACAAATTTATTCAAGATCAGAAGTCTAAACTTGCAAATGAAAGGCAACGCCTCAACGTAAGTATTTACATTAGTAGCTCTGCATTTTGCTGTCAATTTGGCTTAAAGCTACATAGGGAATGATAGTAATGGCAATATGATGGCAAATACAAGTGACACAGCCAGTAGCCATTGTAGAGGTATTGTCGGGTCACAATACAATATGGATCCCTGATTCTCTCACGATTGTTGTTGTGATATCTTTCACATGCTGATGTAGTATTTTTATTTCATAGTTGATGTTGGTTCTTTTCACAGATGAATCACAACCCTGAATCATTTGTTTTTGAGTTTCAAAGATTAAAGGTGGGATATTGTGGACCCAAGATATATAGGCTAGAGGGCACTGTGAATGTTATCCTGTTTGTGGCCAAACCGGAAATACTAGAGAATCTGTGCAAGCTCGTTATTTATTAGCATTTTATCCCCGTAATTATTCACTTGATTTTATACCAACATAACATGTAATATATAATATGTATGCAGTGAAATGGGTTTCAAATTTTTGTATTTGAGCCAAACATGAGGATATCTTTATTCCTTCATCAAAAGATTCAGAAAACAAACTGCTGCTTTCCTTATGTCAGTCTATGATGGAGATAATTATTGGATGACAGCAGGTTCTCAAAACTAGAAACAGTTTTGTACAATTTGAGATGATTTATGGATGAGACATGCCTAAACTGTTTTCCCCAATAATAAATACATGTTTTATCATACTGCACCTTTCAAACGAGTTAACCATAAGGGTTTGGTCACATCATGTTTTAAAGGGCATTGGTGAGATTTGTCAAAGGGCTGAATCATACATAGTATTTTGCTGGACACACACAGCAATCCATCTACAACCCCAAGAAGATCTTCTGTAAGCTCACTTGTAACCATCCTTGCTTGTCACTGACCCATGAAGGTCTGGGTTAGAATATTGATCTTCAGTAACCCATGCTTGTCGTAAGAGGCGACTAACGGGATTGGGTGGTCAGGCTCGCTGACTTGGTTGACACATGTCATCGGTTCCCAATTGGACAGATCGATGCTCATGCTGTTGATCACTGGATTGTCTGGCCCCCCAGACTCGAGTATTTACAGACCTCTGCCATATAGCTGGAATACTGCTGAGTGCGGCGTAAAACTAAACTCACTCACTGACTTGCTTGTGACTGTAAAACTGGACATGCACCAATCATGCTGATTCAGGTGGAACAAGTTTCTTGTAAACATTGTGGTTCCAGATATACATGTCTGAAGACTATATGTGCAGACATCCAGACAACAATTTTAATTTTGGACAAACATAGAAAGCCTCAGAAATAGGTTATTAGCAGATAAGATCAATAGTGTTTATTCTAAGTAGCTACATGGTTTAAATTTCATTGACACCTGACTAACATGATTATTATTTGCACGTATTTGTTACTGTTTCTTGCACCAACTTTTGTGTAGACTTGTCAAGCTTTGTGAACATAATCAAGCCTAACCATATCAAATTTGAAATAGATTGTTTTTTTTGTATGGAAATTTTCATGAATTTCAAAGGCTAGTAAGATTAGCAAGTGGTCCCCCCTCGTAGAAAATAGCGAAAACACAAATAATGATCGTTTGTTAAACAACTTTTTTATTTGGGTGTCAACAAATTATGATACAGATCGTCAGAGTTGGTCTGTCGATTTCATATGACTGTGCAAAATTTGGTTTTGTTGCAATTATTAGATTTTGTGTTAGTGAGCAATTCATCTGTCACAAATGAAATCAAACGGACTGTAGGTATCATCGTTGTTACATTTCCTGATAAAGACCCCCCCATATGATGTTTTCAGTTTTCCTAGAAATCCTAATGCTGATCCCCCAACCGTTAACATGTCTGTTTGTTTCTCTTGAGATGCACCATCGCTGGTACTGTCCATCTGAAATGCCATTGGTGTTAACATGTTGCATTTCATTTTAGGATAAACTCATTTTGTTCATGTAAATGTTTATTGTCATGAAAAAGTGTCAACATGGTCAGATTGGAACTTTGGTTTTAAGTTTAAAAAAGAGCCCAGAAAACATTACTGCACAGACATTTATATTTACAGTAGTTGGAATTCATAAATCCTGCTATCAGTGTCTTCAACCTGAGGGACTTGAAGTGGAACTGTTAAAACTTCACCTCATTGCCCAATCCAGTTTTGGATGATCAACGCTAACAACCTCAGTACATTTAGATGTCAGTCTGATGGGTTATCTAGCATGTCTATTATTCTGAACATGTTCCTGTACAGTCTTAGAAATTTGTTTTGATTTCAACATGATAGTCAGTAGTTGTTTGATAGACACACCTGATATCTTGCAGGTGAACAGTGAACAAAGACTACCAGTAGTCCTGGGTAAACCTTAGTTCACTGGTCCTGCTTGGGCAACACACTATCTTTAGACTATGTTTACATTTTCTGTCAGTTTCATTTGGTTCCAATTTGTTTCATAATTGAAGAAAGGAGAGCTGGTTCTGAATGAGAGCCTTCAATTGGAAGTTTCACCTGTCCTCAGCACAATTTAGTTGTCTTGGGCTAGTGGATTAGAATGATTTTCATAGGCTGCCAGTATGGTATTAGGAAATAGGAAGTATATTTCAATTTGGGAATTTTGACTGGCAGCTGTGGTAGAGTTTCTGTTTGTTATAATTTCTGCCCCTGCTGTTACGATAAGTGACTGGTACCCCTTGTGATGTCCTGCAGGATGATGGGGAGAACAAACGCAGAACATGGGACAGAACTGGACGTAATGACTACACGCTAGCAGAGCAGGTACTACTCACGTGTTGGAACATGATCAGTGTGGTCTGTTTGTGATAGCTAGCTAGCACTTCATACTGTTGTAATGGCTGCCTTCAGAGACCTTCATATCGGTGCAAAACATTTAGCAACAAGTATTAAAATATGCATAAAACAAAACTGTATTGTAAATTTAGTGTAGATTACTGTAGAAGATATATCAGTGCTTGTACTATGATGTTTATGTCAAATTGTATGAACAGTGTGATCATTATTATATATATTCTTTAGAGGTCATGTGACCAAATGACATGTCAGATTGTAACAAAATTCAAGCTGACACTTTTGAGGGCGAACATTGATAAGTTATTAAGAATTCATGCTATTTACTCATCATGTTTATATGTGCATAAGAATGTGTACATTATTGTTCTAAGATACTTATAACAGTTATGGTAGGGATCAAATCATGCTAATGGTGGGAGGGAATATAAAGGTTTATTCCCCGTTTTCGCAGATCATGTTTACAGCAGAACAAATTCACCACAGTTCAAAAGTGTTGGGAATTGGTTAAAATCTCATAATTGATGATTGGTTCATTACAACCGATCAATCATTGAAAATAATTGGTTAGCGTCATTTATGAAATTTGTTAAAGCACAAAAAAATAAGGAAAAAAACATGTAGTCCTTTGGGGGGTTTTGGGCAAAATTTCACATCTTTAAAGGATGACTAGTATGTCAGGAACATAAATTTCTTAGAGTCTTTAAGATAAATTCAATCATGACTTGGAACGAGCTTGCAGTGCTTATGAAATGTAACACACAAAACCAACCTAGTGAAAAATACTGTTAATGAAAACAAGTGTTCCAGAATTGTTTGTGTTTGATTATTAGAAAACATGATCGAATGCTTGGTCGTTTAGCCACTGCGACCAAATCTTCGATTACTGTAACAATTAATGTGATGATCCTGATACACAATACAATAACAGTATTAGTAATAATATTTAAGTGTATGGAACCCCATTTTGTTGTCCAGGACCCATGAAAATTATAAGCATGAGTCCCAGGGACCCTCAAATACAGGACTCAAGGTAAATCCCTGGATGAATGATTAACACTCCTAATGCAGGTGAATACCTTCCCCATTTGTCACAGAAACTTTTACATGTACATGTAATACTGACATGGATTTAACAAGACCTGCCCAAAGGCTGATGTCTGCAGCAAATATTAGTGAAATCTAGAGAAAAGGGTTAAATTAAGGCAACATTTTACATGTTGAATTGAATGAATTTAGGGGAAAATCAATCTTTTTCCAAAAACCAAATTTGATTTAAGTAACATTGTTTTCCCCAATTTAATATTTTCCCACTGTGTTAAGAATATATCCCTGTTTGACAGCTGTGCCAATATTCATGGTATTCTGATTACTACTCATGTACAAATCTGTACAGGCAACAAGATGACAATGCTGTGACCTTCATGTGGCCTTTTATGCTTGTATACCTGTGCTTGTGCAGCTTATTCATGTGACAGTGTCAATTATTCTTCATAATAATAATGGCCATGCGCCAGGTACTTAGCTCTGTGAATGTATCTCTGTAGCAAATCTAGATGTCCCGAGGTTAGAAGTCTATATTTACTCTGATCATTGACCCATTTACAAAATGTTTAGGCAGTGTCAATGTAGAGGTATTTGTACCTTATTTAAGATATACCACCTAATCTATTACAGTGTACTTGACCATTGTACCAGTGGTATCTAGGTTGTCATATTTAATTAGATTGTTGAGAAAATTGTGTCATATTTCTGTAGCCAAACTAAGTGTATTTGTTAAAACTGTTTGACATGTGTAAAGGACTTTTTTCTTGCTGAGATTTGTTATTAGAAGTTGGTGATTTAACAAATGTGATAATTGCCAATTTGCCACATGCATGTATGCCATGCTGAGGATGGAAAATTTTAAAATGGATTTGTGTTTTCTGTTGCTGAAAATTATCATCTTTTTGTATACAATAGCATAATCACTCACTTTACTCATGTGTGCAAATAATTAAATATTTTCACAATATTTCTAATGTTCATTTTTCTGATATTCATGACGTTCATTCTTACATATTTCATTATTTCTCAAAACCGTTCAGTGTTCCAAAAATAGTGGGGTATCCTGGTACCATTAAGGCATTACACAATAACTTGAATGTAGGGGCCCTCTAACTCTTTCACTTTCAGTGTTTAGTATGTTACATTGGGAAATAATGATAATAATAAATTAATATAGTGTGTTAATATTTTGCACCAAATCCACATCTCAAAGCATGCTCACTACATTGTTACCTTGACCGATGGTTCAGTGTGCACTGGATTCTCATTCTCAGCTCACTGGGTTCCAGTGAATCACTAGAATGTCCAGTCACATTGAGTTTATAACAAGCATGCTTGACTTTCACGTCTAGGTTTGTACACTTCTATTTCAATCCTTAGATTTCTCAGGATTGATGTCATTTCCCAGTTGATTTTACTTTTTCTTAATGGCTGTTCTGCATGGTCCCCTCATTTGCATGTTGATTTCATCCTGCCCGTAGACACAACGTAGACCCATGTCTGGGGGCCGCACAGGGCTGCCGATCGGAGGGGATGGTGCTGAACTCAAGAAGCGCCAGATGCAGGCTGAAAGAAATCGAGAATATAACGAAATGGTTCAGAAGGTATTTCTGTTGGATGTCTGTCTTCTCCACTCATGGTGATTTTGTGTCATCTTGAGATCTACCTTTACCTGTACTGACCTTGTTTCTGTCTCCATAACTAAATCGTGTGGTTCATGTGTATTTGTGGATTTTCCTCCACTCTGTTAACCAGCAAAATTCATGTCTACACACTTCTCGGTTTAGCCATTCAGGACAAGTACAGAGGTGATAATGATTTCTGAGATTTCAACCTTAGATCTTAGTTAAGGTTAATATAATGTTCCACAGAACAATCTTAGCTGAGGTTAACCTGGTTGATCCAACCCAGCCTGAACTGACTAAGGTTAATATATTGTATTATTTCAATATATAATTATATTGAAGTTTGTTTTGAACTGTTAAGTATTGATTCTCAAGAAATACATCATTTTAATCATATGTGACAGTTTTATGATTAAGCTTTTGAATATAATTCAGTCAATTCAATTCTTCAATTGAAGTTGATGCAAGAAATGGCCACACAGTTATTCAATATTTCACCTGAAAATATAACATTTTTTATTTTATGTGTTATTTTTTTGTCAGTACTATTAGTAATGGTCGATATTGAGATGGTGGACATTTTCTTTCCAAATAACATGTTTATCTCATTATGCTACCTCCTAAATGAAAATCAGGGTTAGAATTGCCATTACCATGATTACAGTCGAGCCGACCGTGAGCTCACAATTAACGGATTGAACACTCCAGGCAGTGTCCCAGCCTATCTTCAGCATCAGAGCTGCTGTGGCATCCAGGCTTATCTGGAGGAATGTCCCTGTAGGCTGTTTTCAAATGTAAATAATTTATTTTGTACTTAAGCAATACATTTCTTAATTACTGAAACAATAGCTCTGCATTAGCTATTTATGAAGTTGGATATCTGCTGGTTTGATTGAAGTTCTAACTTGACCACTACTGCACAGTTTGTCTGATATTATTATTTTATTAACACTTTCTTGAGCGCAAATGGAATTTACATACTATACCTGTTATTGGCATAGCACTTTTCAATCAGTTGAACATTTTGGGTTAATTTCTACTACTGAATTTGCCTCATCAGCCTGTCCTTACATGTGTTTGCTCCAGTGTTGCTTGACATTGCAAGATTGTGTTCACCGTTTCTGGTACTTTAACAAACATTACTTCTCTGATAGTTTTGTTTGGGTACAAGGAAAGAAATATTACATACATTATATACAGCTGGCAATATAATTTGAATAACAGTTCAATAATCTTGATTATTACTATGCATCTACTAAGCATTTGAAGTCTGATTATTATGTTTAACAATAATTGTGTCTGGGTATATATATTTGATAGGTGAGAAATCTTGTTCATCTTCTGAGAGCCAAGGTTTCATTGTGGGTTATATATAAGCTTATGGAAAGAGCCAAGATGTCATGGAAAACATTCTTAAACTTGTTCTGTTCATATCTTATTATCTAGCAAAAACAAATGTTGATATGTCTTCATTGTGGGCTCATGGCAAGGATGTCAGCTAGCTGTCTTATTGGATTATTATTTTGAACATTGAATCAGCTGAACTTCCTGGCCCACCAGATGTGTGACATAGCTGCATACAGCTACTGTCTTCAAAAACATTTTACAAAATCATCAAATATGTATGCATCATTGCGTATCATTGTCACTATGGTTATGGGTGCATCAAGTCAGGTTTCAGATGGACTTGACCATCTTGACAAATCATTAGAAATGTCCTAGAGACGTGTTTTGTAAATTTAGTAAAGTTGTTGCAATTTGCTAAACACTGATTACACTGTAATCGTGATGTTGGTCCAAAGTTGAATATGTTCATAGTGCCATTTGAACTTGCGAAACGTTTAAAAGCAGTATCTTGATTATGTTAAGTACTATCATATATGGTCATAAATGACACAAATCCTGTTGCCTACAATTAATCTTAAATCAATTTCTTGCAATACCCAGCACCTTATGTGAGCTAATAGCAACCATTGTCATTATTTAATAGCCATGCAGTTGTCCCCTATGTGACAACCCAGCCTAGACACATATCTAGTGTATTGCTGTTGTGGAAGGCATTTGCATGGAAACGACATTGATTCCATCAATCAATCATCCCCCATCATTGTCATCAATGTCATAGGGAAACGTCACCAGACTTATGCCCATGTACTTGGACGCTCGAGTCGGTGTTGACATTGCTCTGTTGCCTGAAATACACTCGTCTACTTTGTTGACACGAACTTGTTGGCAAACGTTGATTTGTTAAGAGCTTTGAAATGTATCAAGGTGTCATTAACATAATATGATGTGATGTGTATTACATAGGACAGACATTTACTGTTTCCATCTGAGACTGTGTGCTGTTTGTTACATAACTGTGTTTGCTTGGACTAAGCTATATGCTGTGTGTTCGTGATGCTGTGAAATAATTCTTCTCGTGGATGTGTTTTTTGTGTTCATGACTTTCATGTTGACATCGATGACTTATTTGTATCATTAAAATTTTGCTGATTCACATAGGTGGATATTGGCCTCAACCAATTTATTGTAATATCTCGCTGTAAATACTATTTAAAGAAATAAGAACGTGAAGCAAGACATCTCAGTAGACATTCTGTCAATGGATTTGGAAATGGAAGCGACTACCTTACCATCACCTGATGAATGCACAATACTTGTGTGATAACAACACATTTGGATTGCTGCACATTGTGACACACAGTGCTCTCACTCTCACCAATAGAAACCACCCCCACGCCGCCGCTTCCCTGTAACACCCCCAACCCCCATGACACGTCAGCGTGCACGGGAATCAGATGCTGAGGATCCAGCACCTGCACCTGCACGTGAGGGTGCTTCCCCGAGGCTGTCGGAGAATCGAGAGCCCCCACCCCAGGTACAATGTGTGTTCATGTGTCTGTCTGGTTGGTTTTGAGTTACTCTATTTTGGTACTTTGTGCCATGTTGTGTAGGTATGTCTTCTCTGTGTGACCTAAATGTTCTTCCTCTCATGCCGAATATACAGTTTCAGTCAGTAAACATTGGTGTTGCTGGTATAGGGGAAAAGGCAAGATGCTTTACATGAGTTTGAATGTAAGAGTGATTTCTTGTTTCTGATCCTATTTTGTCTATATTTAGGATTGATTTTCAGATAATATGGCGTATTTTGAAACCGATGACATTTTCTCCATAATGTCACCATGGGCAGTGAGAGTGTCTTGTTGACACGAGCCTCAGATGTTCTGATATCCACTCTCAAACACAATGTATATTGAAATGCTTTAAAACACATGGTGTTTTGTAAAGTTTGGCCAAATTTAGGTGTTTTGTAAAGTTTGGCCTAAGGTAATCAAACCCAACAACGTCATTATGTGGGTTTGAATCTCATTTGTTATGTTAGCAGATGGCAGAAACACATCTTTATGATTTCGAGTTAAAGTTGCTTGGGCATTCACAGTATGTTTCAGCATAGTATTACAAGTTTGCAGCATGGATGCACTGCTCATGAGTGAGCACAATGAGCACATGGGGTGATAGAAGGACTGTTCAGTTGAAATTATTTTATTTATGACCAAGTTTCAGGTCTTGTGTAGTCTTCTTGATGTTCCTTAATGAAGGTCAAAGATGTAAACATGAACTTTGTACAGAAATGATGCAAGTCCTCACTGACATGATTAGGAAACAATATTTCTGTTTGCCTGTTTTACACGTTTTACCAGGTTCTATGTGTCTGTTTTAGTCATGTTTCTAGATTGTTTTCCCAACAGGTTCGTGATCAAAATAAGATGAAATAATATGGATGCTTTTTTCAGTGTTTTCTAAACGAAACTTGTTTAGGATGATGACAGCTATTAAGGCTCACTTTGGCAGACTGTAAAATCAGTCTTTTGTTTGCTCAACAGGAAAAGAAAAATAATAACTGAAAAAGCTGTCATTTTGTAAAACTCTAAATAAATAAGCAAGAGAATCGAATGTTTTTGTTACCTGTCCACCCCATGTGGTAATAAGCTTGTTGTTTTTTAAGTACAATTGGGGAGATTCCACTTTAGAAATAGGGGCTTAGCATCATTGTGCTAGTTTGTCTTGCTGTATGATTATCTATAGCAGCACATCTTGAATGGAACAAAACAAGCAGATTTTCACGGTCCTGATCAATAAACAGTTTGATTCTAAACAACCTGGTTTTACAGGGACAGCGCAGTCTACAGGCATACTGTGAACTACTGGCCAAGGTAAATGGTCTGGATGGGACAGATATAGCCTGCTTCTCAACCTTGTATATATGTCATCAGCTTGTGGAAGTAGTCCTAATTATTTTATTCATGAAGGTAATGCTGACATGAATCAGAGCCTAACTATGAATTAATTCACAATAGAAAGTAATTCCTGTGGATAATCAATAGCTCCTGAATGGTTGACTATGCAGATTTGTTGTATTGATTTAAGCTGATGATAACTGATTGATGTATTATCTTGCAGCCTCTTTTCATTTGAACAATATCTCAGATACTTGGTTATATCTGTTATTTTTCTATCTTGGTTCATTAATGATTAATGATTATGATGATGATGCCATTAAACAAGTTCTTTTTGCTGCCTTCCATCTTGTCTTTGAGTGTTCATATTGGTTCAATGACATGATAAATGTAATAATTAAACTGTAAAGTTGAGCTGTTTAATCTTAGTCAACAATGACTATAGGTGTTTTTAGGTGGTGTTGTCACTACTAATATAAGTCTATTGATAAAATGTAAATTTACAACTTGGCAGCAAGTGATACCATTGGAAACGGGACGGGAAAAGACCTTCTCAAACCCTAAGATATATCCATTTGACCATGAAAAGAAAAACTGGCAACGAAAGAAAAGATTAAGGATGGAGTTACAGAGGGATTATAGAGAATATTTAGCCAAGGTCAGCTGTGTCTAGGCTGTGTCGTGTCTGTGTCCCCATGTACCATGTGTACAATAGGCCCTTGTTGGAAATGGGATTCTTTGAAACACTGCTGTTGTCATGGTAGTGTAATGTAAAAATGTCCTTATTTTCATTTTTGGACAAAATATATGTTTTTCTTATATTTTATCTGAATTGGTTCACGAGGAGTAAATTGCACGATCAAATCATTCTGTTCATGTTATACATTGTTGTGAAACAAAATTATGTGTGCAACTTTTTATCAGGTTGTGTTGTAACTTTATTGAGTTAATTTATATCTTGATTCTTTTGAGTTTATGAAAAATGAAGATTTTTTATATTTTAGAAGATACACATGCCTTATGCAGCATCTTGTGTTGTCATCACAGTCTGTAGCGCATCCACTCTGGTGTTGGTTGGTAAAAATTCCCTGTATTGTAGTGAACAATTGAACAACCTTAACATGCATTTTATCACTTGTGTACAACAGCAAGAGTTGTCTCCCCGGAGGAAACCCTTAACACCAGTGGAGGGCATGGGTTTGCCTGTAGGCCAGTACGAGAACACTAAACGTAAACTACAACATGATATCCAGCGACAGTACAGGGAAATGTTAACACAGGTACATGACTGGCCACTACTGAATACACTCAAACATCTTGTAAAAAAATAATCAAATTATTGAAAGATCAACCTCTAGACATCTACCTGTACTCATCTGTTTTGCAATATGAAAAATAGGTTTATATTGAGAGTGTAACACGAATATGTGAATATGAAAATGGTTTGGTCATAAAGCAGTTTTTTGTTTTCCCTAATTTGTTCACTTACTTTCACCTAAGTCAATTGAATTGGCAATACAAAACCAATTAACCCTTCAAGGTTGTGATGTCTGGTCATGCTCTTGATTTGAGTGTTGGCTCGTCAATATTCAGTTCCTTGCAGAACTGTATTTCTGGTGGCCCATTCTTCTTGACCAGTGTGAATTCATACCCATAATGGTGCCATTTAGTGCCAGAACTCCGCCCCCTATATCCATAGTGTAGGTCAGTGTACTGAGTATGTGCCTGTGTTATACCAGAAAGTGCCTATTCAGTGTAGTTGTTTCCTGTTTATGATCTAGCAACAAGAAGAAAATGACAGATTAACCCTTCTACAGCTGGGTCTTGCTGGAAAAGTCGCACTCCCTTCCGACTTGCCAGATCAGAAGGAAAATGTTTGCCCTGAGAGTGTCATTTGGCCAGAATATGATCCTAGCGATCACATTGATCACAGTATGCAATATGAAGATTACGATCTCGGCATACAGGTAGTACCATCATTCGGCACTTTGTTCTCTCACCTGGGTGGAGGGAGCAGTATGTTCACCTAAATCATTGTCATAACAGGACGTTGTCTTGACGCTTTTGTTGTTAGATGTTGCTTTAACCATGTTGACGTTTCGAAGGTTAGGTAACATTTATTCTTTTATATTAACTCTTAATGTTGTAACTTTTAATGTTTGGAATTTGAAGCAAATGCACTTCACATGTTGCATATTTCATTGAAGGTCTTGTTTGGGAGGGGGCACTGTTTTGTGTGTGTAACTTGTGAGCAGTCAGTAAAATGTGTAGTCTTTCATTATGATAGTGGGGCTTATAGCCTAAAGCGCTATTTGTGAAGCCCATTTCTGGTGTCCCCGCCCGTGATGTTGCTGGAATATTGCTAAACCAAAACCAAACTCAGTCAGTCAGTCAGTCAGTCATTATGATAGTAGTTATTATATTTTGGCTTACTCCATAGAAACCAACACACAAAAATGAATGTAATCTCTGTGGATATGTGGAATGTCTGTCTGTCTATAGAAAAACATGGCATACCTTTCATTTCATTTATGCAGTTCCAAATACCAAACACTGACAGGTTCTGTTGTATTGTTAGATACAGTTGTTTTTGACTGATGATTTTATGACATGATTACAATTATCAAGTTTTCATTTTTGTTTAGCAGTTTCATGAATATTTAACATTTAACTTTAATATATAAATTTAACTCATTTTATATTTACCAAAGTGTTTTTCAGTTGTTAAACACTAAACTCTATACCTATAAGGACCTCATTAACATCATACCAGATGTAGTTTCTTATTGTATTTTCTCAAACATATATTTTAATATGGTATATCATGGTGTACATGAACTGTCGCTGGTGTGTGTTCTCATCTTGAAAACCCCCATGAAGAATTGGAATTGGTCTTCACAGACCATGTTTGTTGTAAAAGGAGACTAAGGGGATAGGGTGGTCAGGTTCAGTGCTTGGTTGATGAATGATTTCTTACAACTTGATATTAAACCTATGGATTTCGGTGTCCATTTGAGTCAGGTCAACGTCCGAGACATAGGGTCAGTCTGTATTAGTGATTGAACTGTTAACATTCAGAAAACAGTGAGAGAATGTTGCGTGTTGGCTTTATATTCCTTACATGATTTGCGCATGTTGCAGTGGAAATGTTTCTGATTGGTTGACTTGTGGGATCAAATTCACTGTTTTCTTGTAACCGTGATACTTTGACAGGATGTTTACCTGGTACACAGTGCCTGATCATGATGATGTTAACACGGTTGGTGTGCACGTTTTTATGATGTGTTGCACTTGAGTTCACGAGTTCAGCTCTGGAAGAATCTTCTATATCCCATGTAATGAATTAATTATCATATGTTCACAAGTACAGAGAGGATCACTTTTTTAAAATATGTTTGCAACAATATCAGATCTGCGCGGCGAATGTAAAATTAAAACTTAAACTGTGAAGTAGGCTGGTATTATGCAAGACGCAAAGGATGACATAGAAAACATTATGACAACTTTGTTACATCCAGGCTAGTCAGCTGACATTTATGGCATTTTACAAAATGGTAACTGGTCAGACAGATAGCTGGAGTTTACAAGTATTAATAACGTTTTTGACAGGATGTACAAATGTTTCTTAAAGTTTTAACATGTTCACTAACATGGTTTACTACTCTGTTATACATGTTTTCTTAAAATCATGTTATACGGTTGTTATTTGTGTTTATCATCCAAAACTATCGCTTGTGTGAGATCAAACGATATCTCCTAGGAGATATCGTTTTGACAGTAGATTTTGTACAATGCCCTGACAATGCTATGACGTCATGTACTTGATGACGTCACAATGCTATGACATCGCTGCACTGCAAGTCTAATGGCAGTACCATGTTCAGAGATGTACATTTTTCATTGAAAATTAATGAAGACTGATTTTGGATGATAAATAGAATATCACCCTCGTGTCTTCTGATATAAAATATATCAACACTCGTTGATAAAAGTAAAAATATCCTCGGCAAGCCTCGGATATTTGTAACTTTATCAACTCGTGTTGATATAATTGATATCAGAAGACACTTGGGTGAGATTCTCTATGTGTATTTGTTTATCATTTTGTATTTTTCATGTGACTGATTAATGCAAACATTGTTCATTAGGCACTTCTCTGTAAGAAGAGCACCAATGCTAGGAAGTGTGCAGTTGAGGCTTTTTATACCTGACAACACTTACAACTGTCAAACATCCTTCAAAACCCGAGAGTTATTCCCCTTTTTCCGGGCAGCATGCTCACCACGCATACTGCTAAAGAAAATGGAGTTATCTCCCCCACACCAATGTTTAACTGAACATATTTTGTGCCTTATTACCTTATTTCACAGAAGAGTACCACTCTTCCTGCTGTAGGCGTGGACTTGTTCTGTTAACACAAGATGAATCATCTCATTGTTATCCCCGCACGCGTTTAGCGCGAAGCGGGGGATTAGTAGTAGGCTCCGTCCGTCTGTCTGTACGTACGTCCGTACGAATTGGAATATCTTAAGAACCATTGACTGGATTCTTTTCATATATGGTACCTAGGTTCATCACAGTAAAATAAAGGTCCCAGTCAGGTTTGGTGACCTTGACCTTCATTTCAAGGTCACAAGGGGGACTTTAACGTTTTACCCTTGTCAGCGAGATATCTCAAGAACCGTTCACTGGATTTTCTTCATATTTGACACCAAGCTTCATCTAGGGAGGTGCAAATTCCAGTCGATTTTGGTGACCTTCACATAATTTTCTAGGTCACGGCGACACTTTGAAGATTTCAGCATGTTAAACTGCATGTTAAGATTGTCAGCGAGACATCTCAGGAACAGTTCACTGGATTTTCTTCATAGTCTTTCAAGACTTCCCTTGAATGTTTTTCAATAAGCAATTTCTTTATTACTATTTTTGCATATTTCATACACTAAGACATTCATGTCAAGGTCAAAGTGAGTATTTGTGCGTTTGAACAACTACAGAGCAAGATATCAAGAGAGGTTGACTGGTCATGTTTTTTGTACATTTAACTTCATGTTAAATTACGACCTTCACTTTCATTACTTTTTAAGTTTGATTTGATAATTTGCGGCGGGGGATTATGTCACCTTAGTGACAATGCTTCTTGTTTGTGTATCTGCATCATGTTATCAGAGATGCAGGGTTTATTAGGACATATTTCCCCCTGTCATGTACATATTTTGAAGCTGGATCTGAGTGTTTGTGCCCTAAAGTTGCCCAGAGTATGATCTATTGTTTGTTAGTCATGTTAGTATATTGCCGGAGTAGTGGGTTTCACGGAAGTAGAAAAGTGCCTGTGCCACTTTGGGCTTTCATCCTTCATTCTACTGCCGTCCAGTGATAAAACTCACAGGCTGTTCAAAGGTGCAGTAATCACAGCCCATTCTGAGATGTTTCAAAATAGAAACACGTCTGAGCACAACATTTGATCAACAAGCAAGGCCTCACTTCACAGAGTGATCTTAGCACCATTATGGTTATAACTTCCATGAGTTGGCAAACCTAAATGTAAAATATTCACAGTGATTTTTCGTTGTGGTGATGGTCCTGATCTTTTAGTATGAAACTACCACCTAGCCAGTAATGGCAGGACGCTTTTTAGAGAAGAGGTTCCTTATTTATGTGTATCAGAATACTGTAGCCTTCATGAAGCAAAAATGACTTCTTCTTCCTGGGCATATTGTTGGTTTGGTGTGAAAGTTTCGTTGAACAGAAAGTTTGATTCTGTTTTATAGGTTCAAGGAAGTTAGAATCCTGGGAAGGAAAACAAAAACTGGTAACACAATTCTTATTATTAGCATGAATCTCTTCTAGAAAGCTAAAGTCCAACAGTTCGAAGCTCTTGAAGATATTGGGCGTCGTGGAGAGAAATTACGCAGGAAGTTAGATGAAGAAACAATACGAGAATCAGACCAAGAGAACACATTACGGGAAGAAGTGTGGAGACGACATCAGGGAAATCCACCTGAGGTATATGACACACCCATCCTCCTGCCTGCTTCACACCGACTAACACTATCATGGGTAGTAGTCTAACCTGTAAAGACTGTGCGGGCTTCTGTGATGCATGCCTGGGGGTAGACAGGGTTGATATTGTCACTATGTATAGGGTGATGATGGAAATGGATACGTTGTGCTTTAGACAGGGATCTATTGGTTACGGTGCATGCTGGCTTCACTTGATGGTCATGATAAACTTGATAAAGTCTACAATAGTGATACCGTACTGGCCTTGTTATATGTCTTTGGAGTAGCCTCCCTTGGACAGTTTTATAACCCCTGCCGTACCATATCGGTAGTAACACAGTTAATTGTGACATGAAAAATGGCTTCAAGGTATATATGTTGTCACTGATGGGGTCTTACCACTATATATTAGTAAAGGGCTATGCTGGCTCTTTGCAGTGAGGGGTTCTTCAAGGCCATGGGCAAGACTCAAGCCTGCTTGTGATGAATAAATGATGTAAACTCATTATGGCAGTTAGGTGTAAGTGTCTCATAAACAGGCTGACAAGTATCATTGATTCTGCTTGTTTTGGTGTGTGATGTAAGCGTACATGATGCAATAAACAAGACATTTATTTAGTTAGCTGTATAAATCCTGAGCAGGGGCTTTTGCTTGAAATTGAAAAATCACATTTCATTTAGCCGTAAAATGAATTCAGCTACCAAAGTCCGGCATATTTCTATAGGGGTATATACAGTGACCTTTGTTGAATTCGTCCCTAATGAACCATTGTGTTTTGACCTTGTTACACCCCTCTCCTTTTGTATAGCGCTAAGACTCCATCCGTGACAATATATACCTTGATGACAGTTCCTTGTATTACACACGTAGTTGTGGCTACTGGCTGTAACAATTATTATTGAAATTTTAGATAAACATTAGCAGATTTTTAGAACAGGTAGTTATTATGCAGCATTATATCCTTATAATTCAAATTCTTTTCTTTTCTTTTCTTCTGCTATGTTTGAATCATATATCTGTGCAGTGCTTTATTCCTAGCATGGTATAGCTTCTGTAGGTACCCCTGTCATGTAGGTTGTGGAATACACTGAACAAATTAGCATTCTATTGGCATGAAACAATACAGTGATCGTGGATTTGAATTGCAGATTCGCACTGATTGTATTTCTTGGTTTGTCAGAACCATGCCTGTGGTGTACATCCCAAGGTTTCACCAAAGTTTTAACATTTTAATAACTTCATTGACACACATCATGACATAACTTAGAGACTGTGTTTAACCCCAGTGTTTTTTGCAGATTAGCAAGTACCTTCAATTGTATTGTGTAATCTTAGTTTTTGCTTGAGTGCAATACTCTGCAAAAAATAACCAGCTTTAAATATCTGATTGTGAATAAGAAACTTAAGAATAATAATCAGCACTAAATATATCATAGGAAGTAAAAAAGGTTTCAGAAATGTTTGATTTTTGATGATATAGACATTACTGAATATATTTGTTTTGGACACTGTCAGTTTGTAATATTCACCATCTATGTTTATAGTACTATGCTGTTGTGAAACTATCTCTGGATAAACTAATCAGTTATCATTTACATTATCTATTTATTTTTAAGGAAACATTTTTGTTCATATGTTTGTTCTGACTTAAAATGTGTTGTCAGTACTGAAGGTTTCATTGTTATGTTGCAGTAATAACTGCCCTGTTTTTCATCAGTTGGTGTCTGCCTTGTTGAGTTTTACTGTTAACAGATTAACATATTTTTCTGTGTCTGCTTTGCAAAAGGTTAACAGCTACATTGCTGATTGATGAAAAATGTTTTTCTAATAATTGTGGACAGGAGAATGTTTTGATATTATTGTGACATTTTTCAATATAATTCCTCTAGATTGGAGTGTCATGTTCTTTTTGTTATAACTCACTTTGCTGACAAATTCTTCATTTAGAACACAACAGAATTTCGACCAGCTTACTTCAAAATTGGTGACTATGAGAAGTACCGCCAGGCTCTAAATGACCAGCGTAGAGAAGAGTACAATGAATTGTTAGACAAGGTAAACTGGGGTAGAGGCTGGTAGTAGATGGATATAGGTGTAGATGTAGTAACTATGTAGCGCCATAGAGAAGCCTATAATAACTGCATAGAAGTGGTCCGAATTGTCCCATAGAGCATGTACAGGGTTGAAGTTATTACAAATGGCTTCAGGTGTTTCTATACCTCCTTCAATACAAGTCTGTAGATACAGTTAGCGTTAGTGAGGATGAGATTTGTGTCATTTATGATGTTGCCAGCTAATGATTGAGAGATATGACCCTATAGGTGACAAATTCAAAATTGCAAATATGGTACTTCTAGATTCTCATATTAAACGTGATAACAATTATTTCATGATGAAACTAAGGTATTTTATATATAATTTTATGCCATAAATGAGATTTTAGAAAGCAGCACTTTTGCCTTATTGGTTCGCCTTGTGTCCAGTTTAATCTGTAGCTTTGGACAGGTTGGAGGGTATGGAGTGACCAGCATTCTAACCATTTCACATGCTTTGACACAAACTATAAGTATTAACATCATGGTCTTGCAAACAATCATCTAATCAGTAATGGCCAACTAACCTCAGCATCATTAGAAATGTTGCGACAATAACCGATATGTACAACCACTGATTGATTACTGTGACACCAGCTGAAGGAGGTTAAACCAAGGCAAAGGTACTTCAAGACCGAAGCCCAGCATGAAGCCAGTACCAGAAGGAAGACTGAGCCAGATCATACGTTCCCCCATTATAATGAACTGCGCAAAGAGTACATTCCTCTCCAAGAGAAGGTACAGCGGTTGATTGCAGTGTTCAAACTGACAACTTTGTTGCTGTTGATATTCGCGGAAAGTTGGCTTCTTTCATTCATTGTGAAACTGTTCTGTTGTTTTTTATTGCATATCATGCTTGTTACAGAAAGGTTTACTTTACCACACTCATGCTCAGCAATTTTTTAATTTTGACCATTAATATGATGTTTGTTTGCAGTGATGAAAGTGGGTGTCTACTAAAAGTGGAACTGTGTAATCAAGACAATCCTGTTTCTTACTAGTCAGCCTGAAAAACAGATTGTTTTGGCTGGAATGATAGCATAGCATTTTCTTTTACCTGTTTGTAGTAAGTTGGAAAATAAAGTTTAAGAAATGATCCTGATGAGCAACATTATCAGGATTTATTGGTGATTGGTTGTCCTGCTGCAAATGATTTTCCCCGTGATGTATGCTGTGGGTAGCACAAAACCTGCAAGTCAGACCGTCAGTAATATAGTTGCATTATTTCTGGCAGAATTTCTGCATGTTTCTCTTTATTTTCAGGGAGCTACTCGACATGCTCAAATTAAATAGACACAGCAATTGATTATTTTTAAATTTTGACATTACAAATGACATTAGTAAGATATCTTATTGTTTATGATTCATGGAAATCATGTTTCGGTATAATTAAAATAAAGTATTTTGTGTAATAACAATCTTATTTCATTTCCGTAACATGAAAAATTCTATATTGTTTTGGTATAATATAAATCTTATGTTGTCTTTGTGTACCAAAAAGGCTATGTTGTTTTTGGTAACATGAATCCTATATATTTCTGTATAATGAAGACAATATGTATCTTTGGTATAGTGAAACTGCTATGGTCTTAGGGCATAAAGAATACATATATATATATGTCTGCATGTGCTTTCTTTTGCAGCTTTTGTGCAACACAAATTACATTTCAGATCTGACATGATCATAATTTAGTGAGCATTTTATTTGTGATATTTCCTATAAATATGGGCCAGTTAAATATGAATCAACCTGGTTTTAGTATCGGAAACATTTAGCTCAAAATTGGCAGTGAGCACCCTGATGTTACAGTCTCAGAAGCTACCCATGTCAGTCTAATGACCGCACTATACTGACAGGTGTAACCTTGTAAGTGTATGATTTATAAGCAGTAAGATTTGTTGCCTTCAGCCAACAGTACACAACCGCCGCCTATGGCGGGAACCGTCCGAAGAGCTTGGTCTGCCCATCGGGGAGTATGACAAGAAGAAGAAAGAGCTGGCTGATCAGCGGAGGAGAGACATGCAGGCCAACCTCAGCAAGGTGCTTACACTGTGTGGTTTGCTGTGCCTGATACTGGTTGCTCACTGAATAGTTTTTGCTTCACGAGAACCTCTGGAGATTGTTGTCATTTAGCATGGAATCATGTTGGTTATTGCTCTAGACTAGATACAAATGGGCATTTTCTGATTTTGATCGGAAACTATTCTATATCATTACACATTTAGGTAAAAACTTGTAGACTTTTTGGAAGACAATGGGTCAGTATTCCAGAAGATGAACGAATTAGAAATCCAGTTCATTAACTGTTTCAAGTTATAGATGTCCAGATTGAAATGCTGAACCCAGAAATTGGTCTGTACAGAACTAAATTATGAAATGACAAGTCAACATCAATGTGTAATTAACAAGTTATCCTGAAATAAATTGGGTCAGATATGACGCAGCAGCAATAGGTAGCTGGCCCTTTATTATAAATTTGTAACTCACAAATGTCCAGAATTGGTCATTGAGTCTTGAAAGAGACCAATGCTCCATTCTTGAATCCTAAATAGTGTTTTGAAAGTAGCAGGTCTTGTGTGTTAGCATGTTCAGCCAGGTTGCCAAATTTGCATTGAATTTCCCTCTCACTTACATACCGGTAGGTACAGCCAAACTTCTGAAAGCAGTCCTGTCTTGAAACTGCTTGAACGCTTTAGACATTTTTTGTAGTTAACAACCAAGGGAGGTAATCCAAAATCACACTTCCTTTTAAAGTCCGGACACCCAAAAAATATCCTAAAATTAATCCTATAACAATCTCTACTAGCAAAGAAATTAATTTGTAAGCAGATTGTTGAATAGCATTCAAGTGGAGTATTGCTTATTGCATCTTAGGACAACATTCACCCACTGTTGCATAATAAACCATGCAGTTTCTGCTATTATTCAATTTCAGTGATATTTAGAAAAGTAACTATAGACTTAATTTGTTTTTCCCATGTGGTTATTTTACATGTTACTTAAGGGTGGGTATGGGAAGATAGTTGTAAGTTGTAGTAAAAGGGGACTGGAATTATCTCTGACCATCTGCAATCATCGTAACCAGCAGCAGCAGCAACAACAACAACCCTCCTCCAGAAGACAGTGGCAGGACACGGACCAGTCAGGGCTCAAATTTGCAACACAGGATCAAACTGCTAAGTTTAATGAGGAGAAGAGACAAGAGTACAATAAAGCCAACAGTAAAAAGGTCATTGTTTCATCAGTCATTCAAGATATTCAAAGACATATATTTTCTTAAAGTATTTGTTGCTGTTCCTAAATATATTGGTATGTTGCATAGGTAGAAGAAGTGACCATAATAATTGGTTGTTTCTCAGTCATATGAGTAAGTGAGTGAGAATGGTTTTACGCCACTTTTAGCAATATTCCAGCAATATCACGGCGGGGAAACACCAGAAATGGGCTTCACTCATTGCGCCCATGTGGGAATCAGAAATAAGGAATGTGTTAGCAGACTTAGACTAATTAATCAGTATCTCCCGCCACAAATTGTACTAGCATTATGGCCTTGAATAATCTGTGTTATAGTTTAGGAGTTACAATAATTCTGTGCAAACATCGCTTTTTGAAACTGGCCCAAGGTCTGGTTATAGTCTGTCATTCTGAAATGAATATGCAGGATTTACCTAACGTAGTAAAATGAACAAATGGAAATTTGGGGATGAGTTATTTAGAAGTTAATGTTTTGTTTTTAATAAAAGCCATATCCAAACCGCCAGTGGCGGGAGCCGTCAGCCGGTGGGGGGTGTCCTCTTTGTTGGTGAGATGGAAAAGAAACAGCTAGCAAAGCAAAAGTTAGCTGAAGAAAAACGACAAGCCTATCTAAAGAAGGTGTGATGTTGATTAGATGTGCAATCAGACTGACTGGGTGCTGGACATTTACTGGGGCTTGACCATGTCGAGACATGGATTATAGTGTGGCTGTCTTCAGGCTAACTAATCAAATGAGCTTTTTCTGGTAATTTGTAATCCTGTAAACGGTGTGATCTCTGTCAATAACTGGGTTTGTGTGAGATTTGTAGGGTGTTCTCTACAACTAATAGTATATACCGGTTGAAAATGTGCATCTCTTTTTAGTTTACATCATTTTTATTTTGATGATTATTTTGATACAGAAATATTGGTAAGTAAAAAATAAATGTGAATAATATACAGTGATGTCATTAAAAGATGAGTGAAAGAAGAAATCCACAAGAAATTAGCAATTTCCTTGAAATGACAGGAGAAATATTTCTTTAGTTTGTTTCACAGAATCTCTCTTTACATATCATGCTCTAGGTAGTTGAAGGGTGATGATCTGTATTGAAAGCTAGACATGGACGTGATGGAGAAGTCTCACAGTGAGATATCAGTCAGTAAACTACATCTCTTGTGAAATCAATAGAAAAAGATATACTCGGTATTGTTCAAAGTACCATGCTCATCCTACCACTGTTGTCCATAGATCTTAACTTGCTATGACTTAACCCTAGACTGTGGAAACTTCCAACCGGCTGTGGCGTGAGCCGTCTTCAGAGAAAGGGTTAAAGATCGGAGAGTATGAGGAAAAAAAGAAGGCACTAGCAGCAGAGAGACGCAGAGATTTTGAGAGATCTATGGCTGGAAAGGTTTTAGTTTTATCATTTTCTCCATGATAATATCTCCATGCTATTTGCTCTTTTCTTACACTGACAGTTATTAAAGTACTGTTGGAAATAGAAAAAAACTTTTTTTCCCCCCTCATTTATATCTACAATTTAGGTAGTTAATTTATGAAAGTGTGAAATATCTGTTAAACTAAATTCGGCCTAACTACAGTATCAGCGGTAGGGAGATAGGAAACGTAAAAGAAGGACTTTACTGAGGAGAGATTAGTGCAGAAATGAGCAATGCATGTTTTTTCTAAGTCCAAAGCAACTTATTTAGAACGGACCATGGCTTTATGCAGATTAATGTGCGATGATATTGTATTACAAATGACACTTTTTAAATGCCCATTTTGAAATTAGACTTAGTTTCATTATAAACGATAGCTGACCTAAAAAATAATAACTTTTAATGCTGAAACTATTAAGGATGTAGCTACCATTGAGTCTCACTATCACTATAACAAGAAACAGGTAGGGGGGTCGTCTCAAAAGCAAAACCAGGACGGGTGTTGCAGACGGTGGTTGGGGTCGGGCAGTGGGAGAGAGATATCAGCTATAAAAACTATAAGATAATCAATAGAGACATATTCGATACACATGAAAAGACATAAAATATGTTTGAGATGATCCCTTGTGCCTGTGGGCAGCACATGCATTTCATGCCAGGTGAGTCGAGGGTTCGTCGTCATACCTGGCTGAGTGACCTAATTGCCATCTATAGTCTGATCTATTGTTTTCAGCAGCTATTCATATTTTTTCTAAGTTTTGTCCCATTTTACGAGTTAACATGCTTTTCTGGATATCCTATTACGCATCCCACTGAATGCCCAGTTAGGCCGATGTGGGTTATTTTGACATATGCTATTTGCAATTGTGCCAATTTTAGGGATACAGAGTAAGAGCCTAAAAACAGTTTTTTTCTATTTCCGACTACTTTAGTACAACCAGTCATAGGGTTTCAGGTTTCATGTACACAGATTACCTTGTGAATATTGTCAATGATGATGAGTTTAAAGTTTTCTTGTGCCAGTAAATTCATCTTTTATTGTTCTTGGTAAAAAGCAATTATTTCAAATGTTAGAATTTGAAGTTGAGTGGAAAATTTTTTCAGTATGTCATGTAGTTTAATGTTTACCTAAAAACATTATTGTGTTCCGAATTTGAACGTGTTAATTTGGTTTCACATGGAAAAAGTGTTACTCATGAACAGATCACGTCTATTGTCTTAATTTTGTTAGAACAGTTCACAGTGAACTGAATAACGTAGATAGGCTTTCACATCTGTTTGCACATTTGTCTGTCTGCTCAGAGGGATGATGGACCACACACATGGAGGGAACCCTCGTTTGAGAGGGGTTTACCTCTAGGCCAGTATGAGACCACTAAGCTTAAGTACCAAGCTGAAAGGAACAGGGACTACAATGACCTGCTTGACCGACAGGTTAGGAATGCAGATTTTAGAAGGAATTAAATAAAACAACCCCCCCGAAATTGTGTTGAATAACCAAAAAAGGGCATATTCTGTGATTTGGCTGTTTAGAAGTTATTGAGGAGCCATCCAGACAGTATTATGACAAGATGCCATCAACTCTATGTACATTTGGTCAATTCACTGCATCACCCAATAGCTTGACAAAGTCACCAGTCTTTCTATAATGATCTGAGTCACAACATGCACAGTGTCACTATAGCACCTGCAATATCCTTTATTCTTTATCACAGTGTGTCACATATATTTAAACCACAAATCTCCACAATGCATTATCGTTGGTGTGATGTAGATTCTGTACGATGCAGTATCTGTTTTAGCCACCCCTCTCTAACCGAAGGATCTGGCGTGAACCTTCAGACTCCTCCATGGGACTTGATTTTAACAAATACGAGTGGAAAAACAAGTACCTGAGAAAGAATAATGAAATTAAAAACGTCAAGACTCAAAACATACAGGTTACATATCCCTTCTGTGAAAGTCTCATCATGTTAAGGATTAATTTCTGGTATGATCATAGTGAAAGCTTGAAAAGCAGTATTTCGATAAAACATCATGAAAGAATGTAACTCAATTTGAATGTATCATTGGCAGGTTTTAGGATAATTTGAATATATATTGATATAATTCTGAACCCAGAAACTATTAAATGTTCCCATTACAAAAAAAACCCCCTTAAATTTAGAAATTTCACTCTAAATGGCTCCTATTATTCCCAAAACCTTTGATTTTCCAAAGTACATTGAATGAACATTGACTGTGATATTTGTCTTGTCCCTGCCAGTCAAGCAGCCCCCAGGGTAGCCAGACATGGCGGGGGCCCACATCGGTACCCCCACTGTACTTCGGTAGTAGGGAGGAGGAAGTAGAACGTCTAGCCCAAACTGAGCGAGAGTATTTCAACTTGTTGGCTAAGGTACCCTAATAGATGCAGTGTAGCCCTTGCAGTGGCTTTGGTTCTGGGATGCTGCATGACGTCAACGTGGCATGTATGCATGACATGAGCATGGCATGACTGGAGGATTGTATTGATGTGTTTTGTACAGGTGTGTAGTCGATGGCTGTGTTAGTTTACTGCATCCTGAATTGATAGGTTATACAGCATGTGTAGTGTAGAACATCTTCATATTGAGTTCTCTGCAGGCAAGTTAGGGCAAATGAATATTTCTGTAATTTATTATTATTACTCAACATATATATTTTTTCATTGGCATAAATTGTGAAGCCTCTCATCAGGATCTTTATAGCAGATGCTTTTATCAAGTGTTTTTTCTGCCCATTGCTTACTGTAACTGTATTCATCACAGAGTCTGAAGCAGCCAGTCCAAAATTTTCTGAAAATATTATTATCATGATATATTATCATGATACTACTCAGATCTGAGGTGGTCCATTTGAAGGTCGACATTGGATTCCCTAGAGGGTGTAAGAAATTTCTGTAAAGTTCATTTTAGAAAATATTGGTAAAAGTAGTTCTGCCACAGACTAAAGTCCCAGGCCACCTCGCCTCCCCCATATATTCCATATGTGGCCATTCCTCCACAGCACTGACCCTACACGTGACCCATGTCATAACGGAAGTACTGTGTACATATATACAATACAATGTATACGGTCAAGCTTTATGTCAAGAAATTTAGTATTGTGAATTTTGACTAAGTTTATTATCACCTGTTGGATCACATGAATTTGCTGAAGGGATACACTGTGTTTTGGGGACTGATCATGATGCTTGAATGATCTCTTCTAAGATGTAACTGAAATGGGAAGCAGGCATCCTGAATTGCGTTTATCCAGACAACATGATAAAATGCAAGTCTCTGGATAAGAGAGGCTGGACTGTACATGTTGTATGCAGTAGATCAGCTCAAAGCTTTCTCCTGTGAATTTTGTGTATCAGAAATATTCGGCTGCATGCATTTGTAGATAAGTTATGATGACTCATTCTTGTCAGGTGTGTGTTTTGCACCGAGGACCCCATATGTTCATAAGAAGAAAATGTACTTGTTTGATAGGCATGGTGGGAATGACTGAAGTATATGCTTGAAATAAACATATGCATTAACCGTGTGTGGGTGTGATTAGTTTAACTGTTTGTCCTGTATTGGAAGTGCCAAACATATTTTCTGCTGCAATATTTATAATATATTATTATAATATATATTTATAATACATGTATATATGTTATACAGATGTTTTGCTATTAACTGATGATTACTCTATATGTGGCATATTTCAGTTTCAGGATGTAACTCTTGATTTACTTTCAGTAAGATAAATGTTGCACTGTATAATACCTGCTCGAAGTACTCTGTTATGTATATATTATGTTATATGTTGTATATAATATCATATGGCGAAAACATATCAATATTAATTAATCTTAATATTTTTCATATTGTTTGTGTTATTTCTTGTTTTTAAAGTTACCAGTATTAACAAGCATGTATGAATATTTTGCCTTTTCAGCATTTATTGAAGATAAAGGTTTATTTACTAATCTAATAGAATCTAATGCTTATATATTAATATCTAACTTGTCATGTTCAAAAAATGAAAAGTTTGCTTAAAGATATTTATAATTATAGTATACCAAGAGCATAATTAATGGTATATTTTATTAGCAATTTTCAAATATATAGATTAATTTAATAAATGATTACCCGAATATTCTGAATGACAGTAAACATAACATGTTGGATACAGGATTGAAGTTGAAACAATGCATTTAGCAGTACTTATGCTTTCTAAAATATGATTCCATTAGTGTATTTTTTATCAGCATGCCTTTATACCTGTACAGGTTCAAGTTCATTGCTGAATGTGAAAACTCTATTTCAGCTGGGCCCCAAGGATCCTTTACCTCCCCAAAACCTGCCACTGAGGGTTTCTGAACCGACTGGGCATGACCTGTACAGGTTCAGGTTAGTTTGTGATTACTGACATCAGATGTAGGTGAAAATTGGGTTTAACTCTATTTCAGCTGGGCCCCAATGGATCCTGCGGCTGCTTGTACTAGTCCAGACCTGCCCCCAAACCTGCCACCCCACAGTGAGCATGGTACCCCACTGAACATTATACTGACTCAGGGATGAACAGTCCTTGCCAACAACTAAGTGAAGAGAGGAGGCAACAAGTACCATATTTTACAGGTTATTGATGGCAGAGGGGTAGGTTCATCTGATGTACTCTTACCACTACACCACGGGCGGTCTCATGTAGGTTGCATGTAGTCCTTTAATGTACCTGGATGGGATATCAGTGGTCTTCAACACTACAGAGTTGCCTCTATTGGAAGATGTAAAGAAATTGTCCTTGGTACCTTCCATTGTCATGAGGTGGATGAACACTATTTATGAGGTGAATTTGGCTTTATTACATTGCAGAATTCCAGCATGAGGGATGACTGAAATGGATTTGGGGTTGTAAAATACTTCACCTTGACATGCAATATTTATCATTATTATTTCACAAGACTACTAAGAATTCTTTGGGTGAAATATTTCAAATACTTGACCTACTTGTGAACTATGATAAGGGATGTACAAGAATTTGGGGTTAACTTGAAATCCTGTGCACTTCACTCGTGACACGTGCAACTTATTTATCATTATTATTTCACAAGTTACTAAGAATTCTTTGGGTGAAATATTTGTGTGCAAATACTTGACCTACTTGTGACTGCCATAAGACTATAGTTTGTTTTTAACTTGAATGGAGTCAGTTCTGATCTGAGAAGGAAATGACGTATCTAGATTAGCTAGCTTAGATAAAACTAAGAAGTGATAGAGGTACATTTACATGTCCATACTACGCTTTTAGAAACAGGAGATTCTGACAGACCAAAGATGCAAGTTTGATTTCTCACACCGATACAATGTACAGCCTATTCTTTGTTTGCCCACCTTTGAAATTGAATATTGCTAAAAGCCAAACTGATTTACTCCCAACAAAGTGAGAGATGTACTGGTAGAGGTGACATGGATGTACAAGTGTTACAACATCTGTGCTTTTAGAAACACCAGCGAGGTGGGCGTCGCCAAGAAGGGGAGTACAATGCCACAATTTCAGGTCTGAGAGGAGCAGATTCTGCCAAGGTGAGTTTGAAATAAGTGTTTTGGTGAACATCGGCTCAGTCTGGTGATTTGTGTGATGATTCCAGCATTCCAACTGTCATGTTGAGATTTGGCACAGAATTGTTCACATTTCCAAATTTTTATGTGCTTACACTGATAAGATTCAGTTGATCTATAAATGAGATGGTTGATGAGCAGTCCTTCAAGTTGACAGTATTGAGTTATGACAAGTGTGATGCTGAATATGTTGGACACATTGTTAATCCAGACATAGGGTTTTACATAAACTTTGAAAAAGTGGGAGTCATGGTGACCATTGTAAATGTTTTGGGAGTCATTTTCTAAATATGTGATTCATGTAAATATTAGTAAAATATTTCCTTTATCAATTCTAAATAAATAAGGGCTGTGAAAGCATATATTGCGATATCATCTTCTTTTGTAAATAATCTTATTGAGTGCATGGTCATAGTATTCAGTGGAGTTATTTGGATTCAAGGTACATTTATTTAAACAAATATTGCATCAGCCATGACTCATATGAAAATGTTTTGTTGCATTGTCCAAAATTGTTCAAAAAGGAATTTTGTCATGTAAAATGTTGAGACATTGATATGAAAATCCGACATTAATCTGGAATAACAGTTACAGGAATAAAATATCAGTGGACATTTCTTAAATAGGCAGCCAGGGTAGTAATAGACTTGTAGACCAGAATTCCAAAATATGGGTAGATAGAATTTGAATGAAGAAATACTTCATGAAATTGTTTCATATCTACAGTTAAGGTAATCTATGTGTTTTTAATGTGTCTGCAATATCTTCTTGTTTGAGGCTATGTTTACACATTATTACAGATACAGTTTATGGCATGTTCCCTATGACAAATCTTGTTCTAATAAACCACTACCCTGTACACAGTACTATTACCCTGAGAGGCCCAAGTCTGATAGTGATGTTCGAGGCAGCTGGTCTAAACCTTGGTTTGAACGTAACCGTAGTTACGTGGATTTCAAACCATTTTCTGTGAGTTATAATCAACTGGTCTTCTGACTGTCCAGTTAGCCCTTCACCCTAGCATGGCCTTCTAGTGTCCAGGAGTTCAAAGGGATCACACACAAACACCAGCAGACAGATATGTGGCACCATGCAATTCTGGTGTAAATTGACATCAAAAATGTAATTTTCATTGTCAGCTGAAAAAACCCAACCTTTTTATAGAAATGAATGATTTTAATCATATGTAATTATGTTAATTTTTAACATTGCATTTAGAGCTGAATAACGAAAATATAATTTTAAACATTTTACTGGGTTAATTTATATAAACATGTAATTTTGTTGTTTGGCTCATCTGTTTGTGTTTGCTAGTGGTTATCATCATGTTTGTTCACTGAATCCCACCGGACTGTAGGCTTGTCATTAAGACCCACCATCATAACTAGCTCATGATTAGACTAACGCTACCCTAGCTAGGGAATACTTATATCAGTCAAAAATATGATTTTAAAAAGTAAAATTTTATCATTTTACATTTTAGACCAGGAGCATATTCAGTATCTGAAAATCAATATTTAGTAGTGCTTGCCTTAGTCATATTCTCTCCTCTATAGGTACCTGTGTACATCATGCTTGTATTGGGTATTGAGGTCTATTAGACAGTGGTAGTGCTCTGTATTTGAGTTTAGATGCTGCAATATGACTATGAGATGTATTGCTATCTCACGTCAGGTCTAGGATATTGCTACAGTTCTGAATTCTTAAAACAAACAAACATGATACATATGTTTTGATTGATGTTTATTGATAACATATCTTAACGATACTCTGTCGTATCTCTATCTAGTGCAAGTATGTAGATACCTAACCTTGAGAACAGTTCCATGGAGGTATTGTTTTATATTCACCATGTATTGTTAACATGTACTCATTTTCATTAGAATGATTTGAGTTTTAATTTATGATTTTATATGATAATTATTGGTTAAGTGTTATACATGTTACAACCTACCCTGTTTCATCATGTTGCTATGCGTAGCCAGTATTCCACTGCTTGATGCCCCTCTAGACCCTGCAGCCTGCCCTGCCTAGCCACAGACGCTAGGCAAATCCTCTGTATACTAACACCAACTACTAATACTAGTCAGAGAAATGTCTATATCATGTCATTTATGTCATCCTTGATTGACAGATGGTTAATGTAATGTTTTGTTTCTTAATATAATGAGTATATTTTTGTACAGTGTTCTTGATGAGTTTTATCACTTTGTATTTAATTGAATATGGTGCCGATATTTCAGCTGACTCTATATGTGCTTGGTGATGAGGCTGGAGGGAGTTGGGAAAAGTCCTGATTCAGACGTTAGTACATGCTAACTGAAGCCAGATCAATGTATAAAAAAATAAATATCCCGATTTAATTTATCTTCAAAATCTTAATTTTTTTTAATTAAAATCAAACAGCATGTTTTGAAAAAGTATTTACTTTGATGCTTTCAAATATGTGTTTCATTTTCATTAAAACCAAAAACTAAATTGATCTGTCCTGAAGGCCTTGTCAGTGGTTTGTGTATTTGAATGATTTACCATGGTGTAGACAGTGAGACTTCCTTTCAGATGAGACAAAAGAAGTGAGCAACACAGTCTGTGTTTCATTTCCAAACATGAATTCAAAATGAGGTATGACTTGTTCTCTTATAGCTGGAGAAAACGAAACAGCGCAACGAAGAATACAATCAGTTTTTGAGAGAAAAAGAGGGTCAGAAAAGACCCCGAGGTCAAGTTGTAAGTAGCTCTGTGAAACTCTGGGCACACTCTTTACTGTTTGTCACTGTTGCCACTAGATTGTTGTCCTCTCTGCCTGCAGTGTTGTCACTTGACATTCCTCTCTCCTATGTGTGTCGGAGATACCACACAAACCCTTGTTACTGATATATGGGCATTCTTTGTTATTTCAGCCACTAGTCACATATGTGATGTGTGTGTCAGGGGTGAACTTGGTACAAGATGGAAACAGTAACCTTTGTATATATAGTATGCAGGGGAAAAAAAGAAGGGATCACATGAAAGCACAAGTGTTCCTTTATTTTTTTCCAGGTTTCTTCACAAGTTGGGCAATACAAAGCTTGTGAAAAAACGTGGAGAAAAAATAAAGGAACACTTGTGCTTTCGAGTGATCCCTTCTTTTTTTTCCCCAGTATATTATTACATGGCAAGAGATTTGTTCTTTGTCATGATATAGTTGATGTTCTGAATTAGCAGAGCACATGAACTCCTGGGCCCAGCTGCACAAAGCTATCTTAGCACACCTACACCACATTCACACACACACACTGTCACACACACACACACACACACACACACACACACACCTCCCCTTTTGCAAATTACTAAAGACCACATTGAAGTTGATGTTTTGCAATGGCGGAGCCAAGGTGGGATTAAGGGATTTTGAACTGACATGACAATATTTTAAGAGTTTCTATTTGTCTTTGCACTGTTTGTTATTGTCATTGTATCCCAATTGCATAGATCTTTGCTCATGATTTTGATCACCAGATAGTATGGTTCAGACTTGATTATTTACACACCTCTGCCATATACCTGTCATATTGCTGAATGTAGCGTTAAACAACAAACTCACACTAAGTTTGTAATGGTTTGTTGTTTTGAATTGTTTGAGTAAATATTTCTTGAGTGTAGTAGCTGCTATGTCTGAGTATGTCTTGTGACACACACAGCAGAGAGGGTCAACTGTTCACAGAGTTCATTGATTGCACAATGTTCTGGTTTTGGTTTTGTTAAAGTTTGACAAAATGTTGCTTTTTTCTTTTCTTTCTTCTGCAAGGGTGCAGTTTATCTATACAGCACAGAATTTATTTATATGTTATTGTTTTTTCAGCTTACTATATATTTAGTGCATGCATTGAGTTTAAAGTTTGTAGGCCTTCATAATAAAATACTTAAACATCAGACACTGCCCCCATTATTAAGTATTACTGTGATAATGACTCATGGTAACTTCAGGTTGTTTAATTGTTAATGTATTACTAGATAATCATCAAATGTATTCCCTTTTGTTAACCTGTCTAGAATGAAATCTGCAGATAGGACATCGCCACAATTTCCTAATTTCCAGTTAATGTCTGAAACATGGACACTTTTGTAAATTTGTACTACAAGAATTTCTTTTGAAAGCTGAATGAATGCACTAGATATAATTACTGTCATTTATTTCTGTATTTGCATACCTAGCATATGGTTATGCAAATATACTGTGATTTGAACATTTGAGATGTTTTCTCCCCTGCAGAAGCACGGGTATCATAAGAAACCCCCCTACTGGACCGAGCCAGAGTCAGCCATTGTGACTGCACTGGTACGCCACATATATTGTAACCATACATATCCTGTGTAGTCGTAGGCATACCATATATGACCCCTCCCCCTGGATTGAGCTGGTGTGAGCCATTGTGACTGCACTGGTATGCCTCTCATCCTGTAGTCGGACATACCTTGCATGGTCGTAGTAGGCTTCAGCCGTACGAAATCAGAAAATTGCCGATTCTGGGGCAGAAATGGTCCACAGTACCCAATGACGAGTGTTTGCATGTACATTTGGCCATATACAAAAAAGTGCCATGAAAAACACCCACCTACATGCATCCTGGATGCGTTAGAAATTCTGTTTAAATTTCATTACTGTTTGCTTTCTGGCATACATTTTGTCATTTTGATTTGAGTTTCTCCCGCATACCTAAACTAAGTGACAACCCTGTATCCAATCACAGTTCTCTTTCATATCATGTCTGTAACGGCATCACTGATTGGTTTAAAGAATGGTAATGTACACCAATTGTAGACCTTAATGACCATCAGGTGCTGTTTGCAACCTGGTTGATTGTGTGTCTCTATACTCTGATTGTTGCTTTTGCTGTCAGCCATTGGCTGCGTGGACCAAAGTGTTTACTGTTCGCTTGGGGTAGTGTTGACTGCAACATGAAACACATTTACGACCTTACTATATACACAGTCAAACTTAATCTCAGCAATATGCTTTCAACTGATGTCTTTTACCTATGATTTGGTGGAATTGACATGAATTGTTTTTACAAGTTTTAAAGTTTATCATCAGTTCCAGTTGGATTGTATTTAAGGCTTGTATTTATAAATGTTAGAATACAAGTATATTTTAGATTTTTCTTGAAAGATTTGATTCATTGAATCATTTACCAAGGGGTCAAATGGCAGCAGAGAGTACCTGTTTCGTTAACTTCTTACCTGTAATGAGTTGTCCCAGGACATGGTCTGTTTGTAGCCTGTATATAGCAAGCCATCGATCAAGGACTTGTTTGACGTATCACATACCAAGCCATAGGACAAGGACTGTTGTTTGTGCATCACATACCAAGCCATAGGACAGGGACTATTGTTTGACCTATCACCATAGGACAACCATCCATACCAACAAGGGCAGGACTTGATTGATGGAATAATAGGAATTGCTATATACTGTTTAAGGTGTAGTACAAACAACGTTTAAAATTCCTGCCTGCCCTACCACACAACCATCCATAGAACAAGGGCGGTCTATTTTCATCTCGGACGGTCAAATTTCAAAAACAGCGTTTAAAATCCGGTGGCCTGGTAGATATTTTTACCCCTAAGAGTAAATATTTCATAATATCAGACAGGTTCTCTTGCCGTCAGTTGGAGGTGTTTAAGGTATTATGAAAATTATGTTAAACTACTTACGATTGGACAGTCCATGTTACGATAACCAATCACTACACATGTACTTTCAGTTTACCTAAACTCGATGCATTGCCTGTTAGTGCTATGTAGTTCATTGCGATGTCTACAAACAGTGAATGGAGCTTGCACGAGTTGGAAATGGCAGCCACAGTTTTTTATTGTTGAAAACCGGACAGGCAAGTTCGTATCTGGACTGGTAATTTTTTAAAGTTACCAGTCCGGCTATCTGGCTTGGAATTTTGGGAGTTTTAAACACTGGTACAAATGTTAATCATGCTTCATGTTATTTTGTCTTTTTCACAGATTCCCTTTTTACACAACCTGTCAGAGTAGTTTTTCAGTTACCTTCAGATATTTCAACAACATAGAATCATTAATTCTCATTATGACAAGTATACAGATATAATGTGCGTTAGATATTTCAAGATAGAAAGATACAATTTTCTGAATCTGTTTTTTGTGAAATAAGATGTAGCATAAATACTATTACTACTTGCTATTTTCTCCAGTAAATAAATACTGATGCCATTTTTTAACATGTTTAATGTTTTATTCTAAGTAAGAAGTTATGTAGACATAGTGCACAGTAAATCACATTAGATTGATGTGTTCTTGGATCATGAATGTTTCAAATGCCTAGAGATATTCCCTTTATTTAAACCAACAATATTCTTTATCATCTCGTCTGAATGACGGACTCTTAGTACATGAACATAATGAATCAATGACAGTGTTCGGCTGGAGTACAGATATAGGCTAAATCCGACTCCGTAGTACTAGGTACCGTACATCACTCTTGATTGTCATGGTTACAGGGGGAACACAAGCAGGGGGACACATATGCAACATTACCGGGCCTCCGATACGAGGACAGTACCAAAGCTGTAAGTTGGGACAGTCAGTGTCTATGAATTCATGCTGTTTAAATTTTTTTGTCCTTTCAATTTACTGTCACTGTTTTCGTTAATCTCAAGTTTCTGGCAAGTTAAATACCTATGCAAAACGTACATAGACTAGATGTTTTGTTGAGAAAGAGATGTGACAGCATCATTGTAGTAATGGATGTCATATTTGCGATTGCTGAGCACTAAAGTCAGGGAGAATGTAAGATATATATATTAATGAGATTAGAAAGGTTTCCTCATTTCTGGATTTGTTTATGCAAATGAAATGGAAGATTTTAGATGAAATATATTTTAAGAGGTATTTGGTATTTTGACATGAAAAATAGTGACCTAATCTGAATACATAATAGCCTTGTTGTGGCTCTGAGTCATTCATATAAGAGTTATATATATATTTATGTAAGCATATACTAGTACATACAGTGTAGAGGTAAATTATTCTATGAACATTTGGAAACATGGCAAATCAACTGTGCAGGGTTTGACAAATACAATAGTGCACTGGTTCAGTTAGAAAATGTTTGTAGTCATTAATCAGAATCGGTAGTCATGAAAGTGGAGTCAGTATGACTTTATTTAAATAAAATGCACTGTGACAGAAATACATACTTACATACATGCTAACATTTGTATAGCACTGATATCCAGCTCAGCTGCTCAAAGGCTCTTTGTTTTTCCCTCGATCACTGGATGTCAATCTCAACAGCACGTCATATTCTTCAATCTCAACTCCCTGGGGAACATACAACTCTTGCAGCCACTAGGTGCACCGAGTTAATGTGGCTTTCCCATCCTTACGAGGTACCCATTCACAGCTGGGTGGACTGGGACACATAGTCATAGTACTTTGGAATTGATGGAATATTTGCAATATGAAAATGTGAAAGATTGCTTTGATATTTTGTCGAGACCATTCCCTGAAGCACTGGTCCTACTGCCTATTCTATTTGTCGAGCCCTGCTGACAGAAAAGTGTTAAGTTGATGTTAGGCTCTAAGATATCAGTATGAGTGTGGTCAACTTGTCTAATCTGCTGTTCCTGTATGATACAGAAATATAGTGAGTTAGAGAGAAATAAGGAGTACAATGACTTCTTAAGACACAAGACTGCCCTGGAACAGATGTCTGTAAGTACGGGGACACACCTTGTCCTGGGTAGTTCTCCAGTTGTAGTTGACTGAACCATGAAGTTAATGTGAGTGTCCAACCTTGGTTTGAAATGTGTCATGGAATGAATGTGGGCCTACCGTTGAACCTCAAATACTAATCAGCAAATAATAACATGACTGTAGACTTCCTTGATGGGCATTTTAGAAGTTGGGGTGATGAAGAATGATGATACTTTTATGGATATACAACTTCTTTATTCTATGAAAAGCGACGTTTCGGAATAGATTCTAATGTCATAAAAGCAAGTAATCACTTGCTTGACAACGACATTAGAAAATGTCCCCTTCTCAGAATAAAGAAGTTGTATATCCATAAAGTATCATCATTCTTCATAACTGTAGACTTAGAATTCCATGACATGGTATGGAGTCAACAGTTGGATTGACAAATACATAGACCTAAACTACTTTGCATGTGATCCAACTTCCATGATGTCCAAAACTTGACAAATGAAATGTGTTTAAATGAAATAGGTCAGGACACTGAAGAAGATTGTGGAGGTTACATTGTTCCTTGTGACTGCACTGTTTGTCATTGTTTCCACCCACGTGTAGTGAACGTCACATTACAGCCACATATGCTCACATTAATTTCATGGTTTACAGCACTTTTCTGTTTCCGTTTTTTTCCCAATGCTTCTTTATCTGTTTGATTGGCGTTTAGAAGTTGGTGACTAATAAGAAAGTAAGATTGTTTATGGATAACAACTTCTTTTATTATATATGATGCGAAGTTTCGGTATGGATTCTTATACCGTTGTCAAGCAAGAGTCACTCTTGCTCGACAACGGTATAAGAATCCATACCGAAACATCGCATCATATATAATAAAAGAAGTTGTTATCCATAAACAATCTTACTTTCTTAATGCTTCTTTAGTTTCTGTTTTAGCTAATAGTTTAGCTGCTTTCTGGTATGCTCAGCTTATGAATTTGTCAGTTTTTCTATGTGAAGTTGGTGATTTAATTGTATTGATGTTTTATTGCAGTGTTTGAAGAAACCCTATAGATGATTTGTTTCCTTGACATTTTCATACTAACTTCCCAAGCCAGTCAGTAGAAATTAGGACTGTTTACCTAATGACTAGGAGGGGTCATAAGTCAGTAGAAATTAGAACTTTTTACCTATGACTAGGAGGGTCTAGATGGGGAGGGGTCATGAGTCAATAGAAATTAGAACTGTTTTCCTAATGACTAGGAGGGTCTAGATGGGGAGGGGTCACAAGTCAGTAAAATTTATGACTTTCAGTGAGTACTAATATTTTTAGCTAGAAAGAAATGCTGTGGACATGTTTTTTAGCATCATATCAGTGAATACATGGTAAACAGGAATCTTAACTAAACAATCATCTATGTGAACGAACTGCCGTGATATTGCTGGAATATTGCTAAAAACGGCATAAAACTAAACTCACTCACTATTTGAATGCAGATCACTGACCTGTCTGTAGGAAAAGGTGTACAGTTGGTTCTGCTTTCATTTCATTACTGCATCAAGCATTTTGCAAATATCTAACACTGACTGGTTTTTGTTGTTGTTACATCTAGTTAAATATAACTTATATGGATTTTAGCCTGAGTAATAACATGAAAATGAATATTTTGTATGTTTGTGATGCCAACATTATTATCATGTACAAGAATTGTTCATCCAAAAATATTGCTTATATCATCCCAGTGTAAGAAGGTTTTGTTCATTCCACTCCTGCTGGAGTTGTTATAATTTGGACAAATATAACAGGGTTTCAGGGTGGCTAATTGCATGGAAATTGTATTGTAACTTGTACTAAGGGCCTCATGGGCTTGCTGCTATCTGTCTAAAGGAACCTTCATAGTGAATGTATTAACTCAGTAATTCATGGACAACCCGAGGTCAGCTTGTTAGTGCAAGTTGAGATGGGTTTGTTTACGTATTGTCATTTACATCTCGCTAATGGACTTTTTAATTGTTGATCAAACACTTCACAAACTTTTGGATAATTGTCCACCATTTTGGAGAGTGTCTATCAAACTGAATAGTTATTACAACTTTTGATCATAAAATAGCATCTCTTTGTACATGTGTGAATGACACACTGCTTGATAGCAAGGAGCCAACTTTGGCAGGAGTTGAGAGGAAGCTTGTAAAACTTTTCTCTGTGTGTCGAGATACCGATATTTATACAAAGCTTTGTACATGGTGAATGATGGTGATGGAGGACACACGATCCTGTGTCTGACGACTGTTAGGGATCTGTATCACACCTGACTAATACTTACTGTAGACAGTAGCACACTTACTAATACCACAGCTTTCCTCTATATTGTTAGCTGTATGTTAATCATAATTTCTTGACAAGGAAGGAGGATGGTCTTTACGTTTAAGAGTGCTTACTATATGAATGACATGTAGACGACAGATATTTTTGTGAGGTTTCAAACAGTGTAAGGAAAGTTACTGTCATGCTGTCATTACTATGAGAAGTTTGTGAAGTACATACATTGAAGTATATTTCAGTAGGGGCACGTTAAAGAGTGCATACAGACACAATAAAAGAATGCTCCTGAAATATGTGTATGGGGTTTCTGTTTGTAATACTTTGCAGACAAAGTATCTCAAGACATGAGGCATTTCTAGGAACATCATTCACCCTGTTGTTGAGGTCAAGCATGTTTTTGCAGGATTTTCTTTCATATGCTGTTTCCTATTTCCTCAACGCAACCAAGGACAAGAAGGGCCACCTGGTGCCCCACGCAAGGGCTGGGCCACACCCACCTATGAAGAGATGCTGGATAAGAAGAGGCAAGAGGAAGCCAGATACAGGTCAGTCTCATGATGGACAGACATGTTCTATATTCTTTATATGTTCTCATAAACAGAAGTTAAGCTGAGGCAGTTTTATTCACCATGTGACATACTTATAACAAAGTCATAGATTACATCATCTCAATGATATTCAGAGATGCCAACATCTACGATTTATTCGTAGTCGTTACGAATTTTAGCCTCAATCTACGCCAATACGATCTGCACTAGAAATTCTACGAAATTTGAAGAAAATGCATTAAAATTTGGATGTATAGACAAACACATACATTTTCGCCAAAAAGAGACAAGAAAAAATGTAATGCTGATAATTTGGAAATCTGCTGTTGGAGGTATGTGAAATTAAAGCTTCACTCTTGATTAGTGTCATATTATCTTTCTCAGAATCCATCATGATTTTAAGTATTTAGTTGACATAGGCGCCCGACTCTGATATATTTATAAGCATGACCTATATGTATAAGATATAAGAAAGGTGAGTCAGTAAATCGAAACAAAATGGCGTCCCGGCTCGGCTCGGCTCGGCTCGGTTTCGTTCTGACAAACACTTCCATCGCTTTGACCGTTGAATAAACTGCTCAGTTTATACTCAGTTGACCTCTGTAAAGTACCTTGCGTATCACAAACCTGATGATTTTATTCTCATTTAAAGCTTTCAATAATTTTGCCGTCCATTCTCGGTCGAAGTCAGGACATATGCCCAGAAGTAAACAAATCTCAGGCTACAGACCCGCACCGAATAGTAGAACGAGTCTCTTATTGGATAGCGTCTTCTGTTATTCCCACCTCTTTTAACGTGCAACTATATTATCCAATCAGAGACTTGACTTCGTCTGAGAATGGACGGCAAAATTATTGAAAGCTTTAAATGGGAATAAAATCCTCAGGTTTGTGATACGCAAGATACTTTACAGAGGTCAACTGAGTATAAATTGTGCAGTTTAGTCAAAGCGATGGAAGCGTTTGTCAGAACGAAACCGAGCCGTGCCGGGACGCCATTTTGTTTTGATTTACTGGCACACCTTTCTTATATCTTATATATATAGGTCATGCTTATAAATATATCAGAGTCGGGCGCCTATGTTAGTTGACTATTAATTTTATGGTCAAACTACTAATTTTGATCTTTGAAACTACTGTTTGCAACACTTTGGGGTAGGCATCTCTGTATATTGAGTTAAAGGAGTTTATTAAATTAGACATGTGAGTTAATCTGTAGAGATTGCCAAATCATTTCAGACGTTTTGATGACCCTGAGTACAGTCGTCCTGGCATGAAGTCATACGGCAGTGAAGGAGCCCTCAACGGCATCGATGTAAGTACTGTCAACATGTGTCCTATAGGGAGCTGAAGTGTCTATATACTGTGTTGTCCAGTCAGGTAGCTCTGTTTCCTTGCTGTAGTATTGTATAGGGCGCTACCGTCAGAGTGGGATGGACTGGTCACTGGTGGAAATCTGTGGGGTCGGACTGTAGTCATGTCCATTGTCTTTTGCAGTTGAAGTTGACTTAAGAAAAGTAACAGTAGAATTGTAGACTAAACATTTTTTATAGAGTAACATTGCATATATTTTAATCTTGTATATTGGCTATATCTTCATGATGCTAGTGTCTCCATATGTCTAGTGTTATAGATGATAATTAACAGCCAGATAAGATTGTCTGTTTATTCTGAAATTCTTTGTGAATGAAATTCCATTGAAAACAAATTGAATTAAAAACCAATATTCAACTTTAAAGTATATTTGGTTTAACTGTGTCTTTGCACACAACAAAAATGTGTAATGTTTGGCTCATTCTGAAAGTATTATCTTTAACTATGGTATTAATGGCTGATTCTGAAAGTATTATCTTTAACTATGGTATTCATGGCTGATTCTGCTGCATGAGTGTAGTGACATGTAGTTGTACAGACATTGTGTCAGTCTCTCCTAATATTCAGGCAACTATGTACTCACTGTTAGTCACTGCGTGCCCACAAACACACCACTGTTTCATTGCTGTGTTTACAACACTATACCCCTGCTTGGCTCACTTGGACAGAAAAAAACAAATATTTTGATATTGTTTTAGTGATTAAACAGTTTATCTTTCAAACTGATATAAAATACATAAAAGCTATATTAATGAATTTCTTCAGTCTTGAACAGGGCCCTTTGCACAAAGCGATTCTGGTGTTACAACTTTTGTAAGCTTATGTTAAAGTATGGGGGTTACAGTCATCCTAGTGCTTATATAGCTTTGTGCCAGTGGATTTTGTAAAGTCTTCTCCAAAGGTGGTAATTTTTTAAATTCAGCAAACCTTTGTTCCATTTCTTGTTCTTAAAGCATTGCCCTCAAAACATTTGTTGACCTGCTGAGTAGATGACAGTAGTGTTGCTGCTTCCTAATATATAACCTAGCAATACGTCTCTAACACATGTCTGTATCTTAGGGTGAGAGACGAGGAACAGGTCTAGACACAGACTTAGACAAGTAAGTTATCGTTTATTTTATGTTCATTTCAAACTGGTGGTCAGAAATTAATTTTCTACATAAGTAAAAGTATGTATGGTTTATCTGGTGTAATATGAAATGCTGTAAATGAATCGCGTATTCAGCATATTCGTGTTGTTGATAAAGTATATGTTTTACTGAACGCTAACAAGGACAACACGAACATCGCGGAGAAACCCTGAGGATGATGAAATCGCCAGGGAATATATTGAAGTGGTAAATGTTTGTCCTAGCTTCTATATACATCACAGACTTTCAGTTTAATTTTGTAGTACAACTTCTATAATCTCTTCAAAATTATTATACCATCGTGCATGTTTGGTTCATTTTCTCACCCTATTATGTTACATGTGTAAAAGTATTTAACATTCTTGTCTGAAACGTCTCACCAAAAATCAGATCAGAGACATTATGAGAATGCAGTGATTATTTATCATGTCAAAAGATCTAAATTTGAATACTTTCAGCTGTACATATTTGATCATAAGTGCGTTGCTAGGTTATTTAAATTTGAAAACCGATCTGTCTGGAGAGTGTTTTTGGTGAGACACACCAGAGATGTGAGGACAGTACAGGATGTTAGTTACATATGACTAATGATAAATCCACTTCTGGACTCGTTCAGTTTCTGAAATTGTGAGTGTAGTAAAACTAGAAGCAGGTATAGTACCCAGGTTGAAGTGATAATGTGCCAACCAAATTCTTTTGTTACCCAGGTAAAGTTTCAGTGTTGGACTGAAATAGTGTAGGTGATGAAACTAGGTGGTGAAAGCTACGCTTGTCTAGCCTATGAAATGGTCTGATTCCTAATATGATTGCTATGTCTGATAAACATTCTGATAACCCTGCTGGGCTACTGATGGAATATTTCCTTATATCACTCACATATAAAGACTAAACAAATAACAGATGTATAATTATCCACTGACCTGTATGAAGTGTAACATTAAAAACAACAAGAAATTATAGGCAGTTCCACTTAATTATATTAGCCGTGTCAATTCTGTATTGGATGGTTTTATGTCAACTCTACAGCTACTGTCTCTCTGTATACATATATTAAGGAATGGGCTGCAGCATGGGATTAAATCAGCATTTTGCACATGGTTCCCGAACACAATGCCTTTGTCGATTGCTCTTCCGTCATGTACACGTCGGTAACAACACTCGTGCACTGTCCCCACATTTGCTGCTTACTAACACTGTCTCTTTGTCTTGAGTTGCGTCACTGGCACAGTGTTCATGTACTCTCACTATCTAGGCAGTTACGCATCTCCGACAGGCACAGCATCCTGGATGACCCGTTATGGCTGAGTCCGCGCAGGGGGGAGAACTATGACAGAGAGGCGGTAATAATGTCCTCATGCATGGAATGATGGTTTTTCTGTTGGTATTGCCGTGTTTGGCATTACCAGAACTTGTCTGTGTTTGGTGTATTGGTTCAGTGGTGTCAGTGGAAGTAGTAAGTTGGTAGATGTTTCATGGTAACCTGCAGGTATAGTTAACAAACAGTGAACTTAGTAGACAGAAGAAAGCTAGAAGTAGGTGACATGTAGATGTAGATATTTGTTTGTTGGTAGGCATCATGTAGAAGACGAGTAGATATCTGGACAGCAGGTAACTTATAATGATATTGCTTGCTGAAGGAGAAGCTGCTGGTAGATGCAGTGTTGAAGGTATGGGCATTACTAGCATACAGAGTCTAGGGACGTGTAATGGAAAGTACTGGGGGTTGTCTACACCTGCTGAGAGAGCAATATTGGTTATGACTAATGTTATGGCTTTATGGAGGTGAGTTGACTTGAATTTCACTGATATGAGGACAATTACAAAAGGAAAAGCTTAACTGCTTAGTTTGATGTGATTGCACTGAATGCATTGTTTAAATTCAAAGTTAAAATGCTACTGAATTTAGGTAAATAACTATGTTTAAATATAATTCCAATTCTCAAAATATTGATTTCCCCCAATTTGCCTCCAAGGGCACTTTGTTTGAAATCCTATTTACACCTTAGTATCCTTAAAGACAGGAAGTTAACAAAGGATTGAAGGTGTGGTTTGGTAAAGTTCATGAAATACTCACACAAGTTCAACTGATGGTACATTCTGAAACAGTGGCTGATGATATAACAGGAGATGATGTCAGCCTTACATGCATCTATGTTACAAAACACTTTCATTTGTCACTTCCAGCTTCTGGTGTTGTTTCTGTTTATATGAACTGTGACTGTGTGCAGTATCACAAAGCATATATATAGCACTTGTACTTACAAGGCATTGATCAGGACCTAGATTTTGAAGCTCTCTTATATAGTAAAGTGCCATACATTAACATTAACTTCCGTATCTTAGTGCTAAGGCTTCATTGACCAGGATCTGTGAGATCTGTGCTCAGTGACAATACTTGAATACTGATTAGCAGTGTAACCACTTTGACCTTACAGTACATAGTGAAGGCATTCTATTACAGACAGTGATCTGTTTAATACATCACAAATTACATGGTATTCAATGTCATACACTATAAGACAAAATGCCTGTTGCACTTTTTTAAGATTTATTGCATATTTGTTACCTAAGTTGACAATTGAATCTAGTCAATACTGCATGATGAGAGCAATGTGAACTAGCTGTACAAATGTTTGTTATTGTTTAAGATTTCCCGCCTGAGGGACTATAACTTCAAGGTAAGGGGCTCAGCACCTGTTTCCAGACTTAGTTAGTAGCTTATACCAGCATGTTAAAATGCTAGCTAGAAATACATTTGCATGAAAAAGTATTCAGGATGTATTAGTAGATATATTTATTTGATTAATTGCTATGTTAAATTGTTTTAAAATTTTCAATATATACAATTCAACACAAACTTCAGTCTGAAAGTTTCCTAAGTAACACACAGTATATTTAAAGAGATGTAAATTATATTGACTGATGTTAAATGTAGACTTTTTATGTATTAGACTTTTCTGAAAGTACTAGAATAACACATTGCTAAGTAAATACTTGTCACTTGTTATGCCTGTGATGAGGGTTTGATGTATCCTCATGTAATCTATGCTAGAAGCAGGATAAGAATCCCATATCAGTAGTCCAGCTTCTAGAAAGATGTGTAACTGTAGGCATGGATGAGCTAGAGGTAGTGTCAGCTAACTGATGGTGTTTTGTAACATGCTGCGTAGGAGGCAGAACTCTCCAGCCGTCCCACCTCGCCTAAACAACAGGCTGAGGGTGGCGACAAGAAGGTAGGTCAAGGTCATTCATGTACCGATTGTTATTACTGCTGCATCAGGTATAGGATGCCTCTTTGTGAATGTTAATGAGCTGCCTGTCATTACAATTATATTGATAACTGTTCTCCCATGTCTGATGACACAAACTTGAAGAGAGTAACAGTGAATGGTTCCAGGGAAGAAGTTGACCTTGAACCATCCACCATCTTTGAAAGCATGCGAGTTTACTTTTGGTTTGGGTTAGGGTAAGGTTTAGGGTTAGGTATTCTGTAGGTGTACCTATCTTTGTGTCAGGTTATAATGATTTTTTGTTATCTTACCCCAGTGTTGATACTCTGGTTTTACAGTCACAGGTTCGTCTGGTCCAGACGTAAATATTTACAGGTCACCATGATATATCTTGAACATGACTGCTACAACATGCAATACAGGCACCATTGTGTCGGCTAGTACAGGGCTTTTCCCCATGTCAGGGTAGTAATTATGAATATGTCTGGACACATTGTTACTGCAGTTGGATGTATCCACTGGTCTGAAATCTTATAAACATTTGTCTAATAAGATGAGCTAATAGAATTCCATATGGTAATACTAAAATGAACTAAAACTTACGCTAAGCGTCAAGTTCATGTTTGTTGACTAATATGTTTTAGGTACTGACTAATGGTTGACTTGATATGTGCATTTCTGTGAAACTGACTTCCCAAAAGTAGCTGTACATTTGTAATATTTAAGTTGATCATCCATATAATCTTGTCATCAGTTACATATCCAACCATGATGTGCCAAACAAAGAACTTTAACAAAGTAGTATGACAGTTCAGCTATAAATCTGTGCTAATTGTGCGTTTTCCCCCCACAGAGATACCAGGATGTTGCTCCTCCCCGAGATCAGGGTCCCCCACCACGCAATACCGAGGCTGGCTACTACGCCACTCTGCCAGTTGGTAAGTGTCCCCTCGCTGGTGTGACTGATTGTCTGCTGTGCCGCCCCCCCCCTATATACCCACTTGATTATATCCATAATCCATCACATGTATCCACCCTTATATCCTCCTTGATGACCATTTTGTAACCAGAATAACCTGCTTCCTAAACCTGGAATCAGTATGAGAGAGCATTTCATTGGCTGAGAATATACATTTAGTCAGGAGGTAAATAAATTGAAGACAGAAAGGAAGAATAATACCATAACATCTTCCCCTGATAAATCTTACAATAATTGTTTTCTTGTTGTGAATTTATCACTTGTCTTGGAGATATTGATTGATAAACACGAAAAGCCAAAGTCATACTTGAAATGAGGTATTTTCAAATTTTCATAGCTTTTTCATAATTTCAAATTGCGAGTGATAGTGATTATAACATATTTCTGTAGAATGAAAATTATGTAAAGCCTGACTATTCCAGTCTTGTATCATGAGATACGAATGCTCTTCATGAACTATTGCTACATTTTATCCCCAATATCTGACATTAACCTGTAATCCACCCTCCTGTAACCCCCGTCATGCCTGTGCACATTGACAACGAATGCTGTGGTTGTTGACTGCTGTGACATACACATGCTAATGGCGCTTACAGGTGAACAGCAAGAAAAACGAAGTTACCCCAAAGATGATGGCAAGTGGTTTCTATCATTCTCACGTCTAATTTTCACTTTTCATACTCACACACTGTTGCTAGATGCATGACAAACTGAATTGTCAGTTTTTCTATTAAGTGGTTAAATGTGACACTTGTTTATACTTCTCTAAGATAATGATGATGTTTATGTCATTGGTAGTCGGCCGTCTCAAGGCATGGCAGGAAATTAGTACCAGTAATATTGTAAAGACAAACTCATTTATAAAAACCAACACATCTTTATAGACAAAAATGTGAACATAGTAATCCTTTGTATGCTTAGTATGTACCGGTAGTCTGTGCAGAACAGTATTTTCTGATAACCAGCTGTGGTTTAGTGTCTGAACAAAGTGTTTAGAATTGTGATGAATTTTATTTTCATGGTCAAAGGTAGATAATTTGATTAGATCTGTGAAGATCGTAGGGACATTTCAAGAATGGCGTTTCAGTAATGCTACAGGAATTTTAAAGACGTAAAAATGTGTGTCACATTTGAATTGAGTTTGAAATGTATTTGTGACGCCTATTTCACTCATGACACAGTCACTCTGACCTACTACAGGGGTATGCATGGTGTGTGTGTGGAGGCGACCATTATGTGATTTGTGTGTAACTGTGAGAATTCTCTCCTTGCTGTATCTATTTACACACCAATGCTGTCCAAGTCTGTTCCGTATTTTGTCCATTTCTTCAGTCTTTGAGTTCAGTGGGATGTAAGAATCTTTTCTTTCGACATCTTCTTCATACATACATTTTGGATTTCACAAACTTATTTTACATTTGATATTGATAAAGCTGGCATTTCAAGAAGTGTCTAAAGTCTGAATTGATTACTATTATACTTGGTTGGTCCTTTTTACATGACATTCCAACACACAAATTAGTATGCATAATTATTTTCCTGTTGAGATTCATTGCTTCTAAGGTTTTGATTTTTGTTCTCTTAGAAACATACAATGTCTGTATTAACTATCAAATACATATTGACAGTGACATAGATATAGTGATACTAACCTATTCTGCTGTGTCATGAATTCATCTGTGACAAAACCTATATGACCAATGGAAACTGTAATATGATGTTGACCCTCATCCTTAAAATTGCACACTATCATGTTATGACAGTGTGTGCTTTAAGCCACATTGGTATGATGTGGGAAGCCCGTATCTAGTGTCCCTCAACCTGATATTGATGGACTATTACCCAAAACTCCATATAACACTGATCTGTAGCAATGGTGTAGGAAAATTTGCTTTCTCTGGTATGATTACAAGTTCTTGTATGACCACTAATATGTAATGGAAATGATGTTTGATGACAGATTTGGAGAAGATAAATTCAATGCTATTGTCCAGTTAAGTCTATGTGTTAGTGTTTCTCATGAATTGACTGGGTTGGGAAGGAGTTTTGTTGTTTCTGTGGTATTCTATCTGTAAACTAGATAACCTGTGACCTTTGCCATGCTCACTGTGTCGTAGGCTTTAAGAGGCAGGCCGAGGCCATGGAAACCACAGTTTGGTTCCCCAAACTTTAGGAGGCAGGCCGAAAGCCATGGAGACCACAGCTTGGTTCCCCAAACTTTAGGAGGCAGGCCGAAAGCCATGGAGACCACAGCTTGGTTCCCCAAACTTTAGGAGGCAGGCCGAAAGCCATGGAGACCACAGCTTGGTTCCCCAAACTTTAGGAGGCAGGCCGAAAGCCATGGAGACCACAGCTTGGTTCCCCAAACTTTAAGAGGCAGGCCCGAGGCCATGGGAAAAACTTTAAGAGGCAGGCCAAAGCCATGGAGACCACAGCTTGGTTCCCCAAACTTTTAAGAGGCAGGCCGAGGCCATGGGAACCACAGCTTGGTTCCCCAAACTAAAAGAGGTAGACCAACACCATGGAGACCACAGCTTGGTTCCCCAAACTTTAGGAGGCAGGCCGAAAGCCATGGAGACCACAGCTTGGTTCCCCAAACTTTAAGAGGCAGGCCGAAAGCCATGGAGACCACAGCTTGGTTCCCCAAACTTTAAGAGGCAGGCCGAAGCCATGGAGACCACAGCTTGGCTCCCCATCTGTATACTAGGAACAGCATACTGGGTGGCTAATGACGGAATCCATTGCAAAAACAATATTTGAGCTGAACGAGTAAAGTCTGTGCATAAATATAAATATGACAATTATCCTGACATGACCAAAATAAGACAACATATACCAGCTATTTGTGTAGTGTCTGTACGTACTGCACAATCACAAGTCACAGTCTCACACTTGTGTTTGTTTCAGGTAGCTTTCATTTGAAACCATTCTCAGTAGTTCGTCTCACTTCAATACACTCTCACAACACCCTGTTTGTAGATACTATGAAGTTGAAATCTTAATGAGTTTTATTTGTTTTCCCTTTCAGGCCAAATAGTTATTTAACATATCTTCTAACTGCTTATTGTGTGTTGACAGAAATTCTTACTAATAAATGCTGTGTTGAAGTAGCCAGAATTTAATCATAATAGCTACAACTTGACTAAACCGTGTTTGTCTGAGTAATATTGTTTTCCTCAATTTTGATATAAGTGTTTGTATTGTCTGTGTTCATGGTGTAAGGGTCTGGTAATCCTTTAAAATATCTTATGTGTGATGTGTTATTTGTGTCCTTTATTCATGCTCATATATGAAATGACAAATTATTGAATTATATAGTTCTGTGCCACATGCCATAAAAATCCTCATGGCTTGCTTGTACACTCCCAAGGGAGCTGAGAATGAATAATCAGTGGACACTGATCTATTGACTGGGATAATACTGATTCCTGAGAGCATGCTTACATTTGGATTACAACTTAATATGAATGGACTATTATATTTTAACCAATCTCAAGATAGATACATTGATCATGCACAATGATCACTGTATGTTCAGGGACAATGAAATGCAGTTGACACAAGGATACTGGCTACAACTGGTCAGGACTCCTCGGTTGTCCTTGGTTTGTGGATCTGTCTTTCTAAATGGTCAGAATGTAGATTGTAGAAAATGTTGGTTTGGGAAAATGACAAAATATTGTGATTTGGATTGCGTATTTAAATGAACTTAGAATCTTCTTCCCAGATCAGTGTATGTCTTTAGTTTGTATGTACTTCACAACTGAATTAAGGGACAGCAGATTTGCAAACCAAAGGATATAAAATAAAGTGCTTCATGTAAATTTTCCTCTTACCAACCATTCTCAATACATCAAGATCGTTTTGAAAGGTCCTTTGCTTTGATTTCACTAAAACCTACAAATATTCTTCCTTGTGCTTTGAATGGCATTTGTGATGATGTGTAAACATAATAGCCAGCAGTACCACTTACTAAATTAATACTGTGCTGAAATATAGATAATGGTTTGTGGTTGTACTAAACTCCTGGGTCAGTGAAATCACATCAATGGACCTTCTTCAGTAGTGATATATAGGTAAGTACAAAACATACACACCGTTCAGTCATACCTATCTAGGAATACAAAGACCTGCATACTATTTTTCATGATTTCCGTCCCTTTGAAAATGTTTTTGAACAGTCCTGTACAAGTATCTTGTAGGCATGTGGCACCAACTCCTCAGTACTAATCATGTGCCAGTGGAATACAGTTTGAATGACAAATCATGACGTTAATCTTTGCACAGGCTATGAAACTAGCAAAACTTGATACTTTGGCTTTGGACTATATGATTGTGCCAGTTATTCAGGTTTGGAAGAACCAGTTGTGGTGACATGTGCCTCTATATGTTTATATGTCGTGTTGTTGCAGGGGTTGAGGAACGGATGAGTGCCCAGCAGCGGAAGAAGGAACAATACAGGAAGGAGCTGCAACAGCAGATGTTGGAGGCCAGTGAAGCTAAACGCAGGTAGGCACTCAGAGAGTGACCATTGACAGGATTAAGAGCCTGCTGGTTATGTTTGTTTGTCTGTTTCAACAGCATTCTCAATGATATGATGTGGGTCTGTGAATAATCAAGTCAAGACCAGCCCGTCCAGTGATTGACTTAGTAACAATCGAGTCCGCCCGGAGAGCGGAAGGTTGCGCGGGTTCAAAGCCCGACCGCGTCATACCAAAAGACGTTAAAATATGGTACTTGTTGGTACCTGCCTGGCTCTCGGCATTAATGGATACAACAAGGACTGGTCGGCTCGGAGTCAGTATAATGTGTTTGAGTGGGCTATTCATGCTTCACTGTGGCATGGTATCTCAGTGGGCTAGCACTATAAAACCAGCTTAAGTCTGGAATAGTACAAGCAGCCGCACATACACATACACACGCATGCACGTCGTCATATGAGCGAAATATTCTCAAGCACAACGTTAAACCCAATTTCACCTCACCTCAGTAACAATCCTTGTGGTCGGGGTATGATGTCTTGTAATCAACTATACTACCCATCAAAAGTTTAGACTCACTTAAAACACTCACTATATGTTATGTTTATATATGTGGTTACATCGAAGATGAATTTCTCCACTAACTTAGGGGAACCAACTGCAAACCTTATGGAGATGAATTGCATGAGGATCATGCATCAGATTGCTGAAAGACAACTTCAAGCTCTCAGCTTGTTTTAGTGTCATGGTACCAGTCAAGGTTGATTGTTGCTTGACTGGTCAGGGCTTGACCAATTGCATGACCAATGGCAGTTTTGTCAGGAGGATGATAATCAATGCTGTGAAACTTTCTTTCACTGGAACAATAATGTCAAGAGTTTTACATATTGTATACATGTATTGTACATTTTGTTGTTTAGAGAGAAGCTAGATGGGATGAAAGTGTCTGCCACTGGAGCCAATGACCCAGAGAAGAGGCAGGACAGACTCCGAGGCTTTGGTGCATCATCTGTACCCCCACCACCTCCACCCCAGCCGGCTCCTATAGTCCTCGCACCTCCGGTCTACAAGATGGCGGACCCAGCTCCAGTTGTGTCAACCAGACTTGTAGACTATGACAAACTTAGGTGAGTGTCAAACTGTTTTGTCTCATTGACCAAGTGATGGCACAGGCCCTTGTCTTTGCGAGGATTAAAGATTTAAAAAATATTGTTTTTGAGATGACCCCCGACTCAAAATACTTCATAGTACAATACATCATGACAAGGCCGGACACTTCGGTGCACCCCACCCGATTGCTTTGCCGATCGCTACGCTACCATCGCATGCAATTGATTAAAACTTAATGTAAACATAATCATGGATGATTACCCTATCGAGCACCACTCATGGCACCTACCAATTCTTTATTGTTATTTCTCCATGTCGATTGAAACCCAATTTTGACTCTTAACTAAACGATCTTGACACAAATGGAGGACGATATATCAGCACAAAACGGGTGTGTGGTCGAAGCAAGCCCTCTGGTTGGTTGATGCTTGTTAAGGAGACATTTACACCTGATGCTGTCTTTGTAGAAGCCACTGCTGGAGAAAAGAATCTTACATTTCCCAGTCAAGCAGTCGATGAAGTAAAAATGCCCACGAATGCATAAAGAATGTGCAGATTTACATGCGTTGACCAATCAGAGGGCTTGCTTCCACACACACACACACACACACACACACACACACACCGTCTGGCCTTGTCATTATGTATTGCACTGTCATTATGTATTGCACTGTGAAGCATTTCAATTCGGGGTTCATCTCAAATTTTTATATACATATTTTTTTTAAATTAATCCTCGCAAAGACATGAGGGCCTGTGAGTGATGGTGGTGTTACCCAGAATACCAAAGTCCACCATTCTAATACCCAAAATGGGACAGTGTGTGAAACCCATTTATTGTGTCTCTTTGATTAATATTGCTGAAATGTTACTTAATGCTGTCAAAAACTATTTGACCACTGTGACCAGTATTTCCATGTTCAAGAATTGTCTCCCTTTGTATATTTCCTGAGCTGCATCACTGATAACTTAGTAACTATCCCTTGATTCACTTTACCATCAGAACAACCGCGAGTAGCAAATACAAACATATGTTATTATTTATAATCTCAAGGCAATGAAGTTGATGAATATGAGACATTTTAATGTGCAATGATCCAGTCTGCAACTTTTATGTGTTGTCCAAAGAGTCAGTGAACTTTTGTATAAAACTGTATGTAAGGCAAATAAAACTGCATATGATATCACTAAAGCATAATGAAAATTATACTAAGACACAGGCTAGTAGACTGAGATGTTTGGGCACTAGGACTGTAATCCTGGGAGGTTTCATGTAAACTGTTGTGTGTTTCCATGCAGCCCTCGGTCGGAGCTGGTGTTGGGGCGGAAGAGTCTATTCAAGGGAGACCACCAGTGGGAGCAGATACAGCAGCTGGACAGGATCAACTTCGACTTGGACCGTAAACGCTACACAGCACCTGCGACCAACAGCTCATCAGGCATTCTGGAGAGGGGCTTCGACTCGTTGCTGGAACCCACTCGAGTCAGCAGCATCAAGGCCCCCCCGGGACTGGAGTACCAGCCGTCGTAAGTAACTGGCTTCATAGGTGTTGATGGTGGTTGTCATGCAGGGAAGAATGAACTGGTTTCCTTTGTGTCAGATTAGAAATTTTATGCAATATGAAAATATATTGGAAAAATTGTGTTGTCAGACAGTCTTGTTTAGGTATGTAAATGTATTGTTCCTTATAGAAAATTGACAGAGAATATTCAGCCCATGTGTGTTCATATTTTTGTGAACATAAATTGCAGTGATTACCACAGCATAATGGAAATATATGAAAAACATGATAGCTGAACTTACTTTGGACTTAGTATTGATACAAATAAAGATACATATATATTTTTACAAAATTCAAGACCCGTAAAGATCTGGGTTAGAATTGGTCTTAAGCAACCCATGCTTGTCATAAGAGGCAACTAACAAGATTGGGTGTTCAGATTTGCTGACTTGTTTGACCCATCCCAATAGCGTGGATTGATGCTCATGCTTTTGATCACTGGATTGTCTGGTCCAGACTTGATTATTTACAGACCGCTGCCATATAGCTGGAATATTGCTGGGTTAAACAGAAAGCAAACAAAATTAACATTAATTATCTTTATAAGAAACAGGTTTAATTTTGTATATATAGAGTCTAGTGTTTGATGCTGAGAGTTTGAGTGTATGTTTCCTGTTGTATTTCAGGACATTTGTTACTGGCGGTGGGGGTGGCAGCTTTTCGTCATTGGATGAAACGTACCACTACCTGGCCACAAAGAACCCTCTGGACCCTGAGGTGGCTGGTGAGTGGACATTATAAACCGACATGCATATAAGATATGAAAACTCCTACAGTTAAACACATCCAGCAGTAGCTTTCACTCATTTTAGAATATCTAGATTTCTGTACACGGAAAAAAGCGAACATGAATTAGTAATCAGAGAAAATTGATGCCTGACTTGTTTTGAGTATAGCTTTGTAAAACTGTAACGTGTATGACCAGTCTAACTTGAGGACAATCTCTATGAAATCATTGCATGTCACAATGCTTAAAACCTGTGGTTTCCTTTGATTGTGAAATGGTTGAATTCATTTTCCGAGTGAGTAAAATAACAGGAGATACTGATTTGTCAAAATGGAAACAAAACATGCAGTAAAACAGTAACAGGTTTTGTAGTAAAAGACACCCTTTTTTTTCAATAAACTGGACGAGCAGATTTTTGTCTCAAGTCAATTTTGTCTTGGTCGAATGGCAGTATACCTTGTCTCTTATTTAGTTTTGAGGCGTTGGATTATTGATTAGACAATGCTCATTGTTAGTTTTAAGCATGTTTACTAACATGTTTATTTATGAATGACATCTAGTGCTTCTTAATGGAAGAATGAACCATGTCAAAGTTCAAAACAGAATAGGTTTAGCTTTTAATTTTTCCTATTTCTTTCCTTATGGATTTCTGGGCAGAAGAGGCCCCAAGTACTCAGTACTAATGCCTTTTTAAGAACTAACTAAATGGGAATCCACTGGTTACAATGTGTTACCTGGCTGATTGTTGCTGAACAATGATGGGGTGGATCATCCAGTGGAGCATAGGGAGAGAGGGTTATACTGATTTTGTTGTTTTCAGGTGCAGCACATCCTGGTGTTGCTGCAGTAGCCATTCCTCAAGCAGCAGCAGCAACAGGTGGCAACACTGCCAGGGTGCGCTTTGATGACAGGTAAGGGTGCACTGATATACAAACCAATTCAAAGATTTACAAAAGAACGTTAAATGCCTTTTGAGATCATTGATCTGAATCATTTCCTACTTGTTGCATACTTTTAACATTTTCCTGTATGAAAGTGAGTGAGTGAGTGAGTTTAGTTTTATGCCGCACTCAGCAATATCACAGCTATATGGCGGCAGTCTGTAAATAATCAAGTCTGGACCAGACAATCCAGTGATCAACAGCATGAGCATCGATCTGCGCGATTGGGAACCGATGACATGAAAGTCAACCAAGTCAATGAAAACTGACCACCGGAATAAAACAAGCATAGTCTCTTTTATTGGGTTACTGAAGACCTATTCTACCCTTTCTTCAAAGGCCCCTATATGAAAGAAATACTGACCCAGGAATAAAATTCTCTGGATTTTGTTTTTGGTTTTTTTTCAAAGCAGAAAGAAATTGTTCTCTTGTTGAGATTTGTAGATAGTTACCTGATAGCAAAGATGTTTTAATCACTGAGACATGTTTGTCTTGATGTTCCCAGACAAAGGCAGGCACCGGGAGGTGGGGCAACCTATGCTGCGGAGGGCAATGACTCTAAGGCAGCCTCTCGTGCCAAGGCACAACTCTATCAGCTGGAGTTGGCCAAACAGGTGAGATGTCGAATGGGTCATTGTCAGGACAAGAGTGTTTATTACGGCTGATCAAGTGCCATCCACACCTTTTACATCCGTGTTGGTTAAAGGATCTAAAAATGTTGCCAGTTTGTCTTTGTTTTGTTGATTGTTGTGCCTTCGGATCGTGCCATGTGCAACACAGTTTGATAATGTTGGAAAATTGCATCCTTTTGATATAAAAACAAGGGTGGGGAAGAAGTAGCCTAGGTAGGCCAGAATCATCCCCCTTTTGATATAAAACAAGGATGGGGAAGAAATGGCCTAGGTAGGCCAGAATCATCCCCCTTCTGATATAAAAACAAGGTGGGGAAGAAGTAGCCTTGGTAGGCCAGAATCATTCCCCTTTTGATATAAAAACAAGGGTGGGGAAGATGTAGCCTAGCTAGGCCAGAATCTCTCCACTTTTCATAGAAAACAGAACAAAATGTCCTAGTTAAACAGGGGAAAGTTTGTCCGGGGGGATGGGTGGGGACTTTAGCCTAACCCAAGCTTTCCTCGAGGTAAGAATATCCTAGGACAAAACCTCCCGGTGAAAGTTTGGCCTAGGCCAGATTCTCCACAGGGAATGTTTAGACTGGGGAAGAAATGGCCTGCTACACCGGGTCCGATCCCCCAAATGGCTGATAATCTGTATGAACGCTGATATCTCTATGCATAAACAAGGCTCATTTGTTTTCATTCTTATTATACCAGATTGAAGAAGACAAGATGAAGAAAGCAAAGCAGAAGGCTCAACAGGAATGGTGAGAATTGCTAATTAACACAGATTTTTATTGTGAAAATAAGAATTTTTGATTATTCTTGTTAAATAATTGTCTACCCTGTTCACGAACATTGCTTCCGTCATGTGACACCTTAGACAGAATCAGTTCTTTGCCATTATTGACGGAAAATTGATTTCTCTGAAATGCTTTCCCTCAAGTAACATGAGCTAATAATAGTCACATTCATGTTGGGGGTGGTGGGGTAGCGTAGTGGTTAACCTTCGCTCATCACGCCGAAGACCCGGATTTGATTCCCCCACATGGGTACAATGTGTGAAGCCCATTTCTGGTGTACCCGCCATGTTATTGCTCAATATTGCTTAATCATACTCACTCGCCCACAGTCATGTGACTGCAGTATTACTCTGTGCATCAACGAACGAGACAATATTGTCCTTTAACTTATTTTCTTGCAAATTCAGAATTGAGGGACAGTGGATTCCCAACCTGGATGTATTACGTTTTGACTGCAGTGACACAATTTCATCATTCTCCTGTTTCCTGAAGATTCTAGGTTAATAAGTCGATGTATGGGATGTTGCAGGTATGACATGAAGCTGGAGGAAGAGGCCAAGGTTTACAACCCATACGGCAAGGGGGGTGGGGGTGCCCCCATGAAGGATGATCGTGGAAATATCATTGGTGAGTCACACCAAAACGTCTTATGTTGAACTGATGCTTACATTAACAGGGGTTTAGTTAGTCAGTGTGACTTGCGAATAATGGTATAGTCATAGCAGAACAATTTATGTCTTATTTATTGAAGTGTTAAGTGGATGACCTTCAAACTCAAGTTACTGTTTTATTTTTTTGATTTTGCTGACAAAAGTAAGAGACAAGCTGTTAAAGCATATCGTTGTACCATAAAAGACATTCTTGACAATGAACCTGTTTGTGATCAGTGATATTCTCAGCAAGTGAAGAACTAGAAATAATGGTAACCTGAGGTCATTGTCATGATTTAAGAAATTAATTTTGTTCATTATTGGATATTTCTATAGCGCACATGTCCACGCACTAGTGCATGCTGATATTTTTTTCCCTCGTACATTGGAATGTGAATCTCAACGGCACATCTTATTATCAGTCTCAGCTCCCTGGGGATCATACAACTCTTGCTGCCACAAGGCGCACCGAGTTCTTGCGGCTTTCCCATCCTTACGAGGTACCCATTCACAGCTGGGTGGATTGGGACACATAGTCACAGTACTTTGTCCAAGTTTACTGCACGTTGCTGTACCCACAACTAGGTGTTTGCACGTATTCATGTGGCCACCATCTGGACATATACCAACGGATTCATGGATCTTTTAAGTGCACAGGGTTGTGTACTGTACACAATGGGTTGTGACAACACTGAAAGAGTCTGCACACAAAGTTGACTCAAGGTTTTTACATCCGGTTACAGGTGGGCTCGATCCCAGCACCTCATGCTCGCTGGATCACCAGCCTGGCGACTTAGCCAGCTCGCCCACCACGCCCCCCGATTAAGAAAACATACAGTTACTGTCTTGAATATTCCTGTTATAAATAGGTTCATCAGAATCTCATGACAGACAAAGAATGGTTGGACTATTTGACTAGGCTGATTGCATGTCGTTTTATTGATTGTTATTCATGCTTTCTCTCACTGATTTATCAGGCCGTTTTGATTCTCGTTTCCTGTAGGGCTGGGACGATACACTATGTCACGATATTTTACCTGCGATACGATACGTATCACGATACATACACCTTGAAAGAATGACACAGTATTAAAGACTTAAAATGATTTATTTCAAGGTATTTGTGTATAACAATAACACTATTGTAATAAACAAACAAGTAACTCTATCATACTTGTGCATTTTTCTCTAAATAAGTACTTTAACATTTTTAACATAATACTGTTGTGAAAAAAGGTTGTGTATCGTTTTATTGATACACCAGTGATGATATGATAGCTGCATCAAACTTAAATGTATCGTGATGTATCGGTGCATTGGTGACTCGTTCCAGCCCTAGTTTTCTGGTTGTCATTATCAAGGTGCAAATCCTTTGAATGTGGTAACCGTTTCTCACTGGGTTTAACTGTACAAAAGAAACAAGAAATAGCCAAAATGCTGTGAAAATATGTAAGTCTGTGTAAGTGTAGTCACTGGGTAATCAGCTTCTCCCTGCCCCTGACCCATGACGATCTGGGTTAGAATTCATCTTCACCAGCTTCACCATGCTTGTCGTAAGAGGCGACTAACGGGATCAGGTGCTCAGGCTCGCTGACTTGGTTAACACATGTCATTGGTTCCCAATTACGCAGATCGATGCTACTTGTTGTTGATCACCGGATTGTCTGGTCCAGGCTTGATTATTTACAGATCATCTGCTTATAGCTGGATTATTGCTGAGTGAGGCGTAAAACTAAACTCACTCACTCTTCCTGTCCCTATTTTTACAACATCATATATCCTCTCTTGCAGCTGACCTTCGTTCACTGAGACGGCCAGGTGGTCCTCCCACTACAGCAGGAGTGTATGCTGGGACCTCCCCTCGGCCCCCCTCCCCAAGAGATGACCTGATCCGCACCCCACCCCTCCAGACCACAGCTGCTGGGGAACCCTCACATGCCCGAGGGGGGCATGGAATATTTGGACAGCCAAAGGTATGTAATGGAATATACTAGTCAGAAGAAGTTAAGAACACCTATATATTTCATGTTACCCTTGTTAATCTGTAGGAAAGAATTGGGTATCCTGCAAGTTACTATAAGTAGTATATTTTGACAGCCACTATACTTATTTGTTCTTGGGATGATTTAGCAGCTGGTTATATTAGAAGTATTACGATAGTTCAATTGAGGAATTAAAAATTGTGCATGTTTGTCACAGTTTCAGAGCTTCATAATAAGGTTGATGGTGAAGTTTTGATGTCTTTTACTCTATTGTTATATTGAAAACTGTAAGTTGGTTTAACGTGGAAATTCTCTTTCTACTAAATTGATAATGAAATATGACAATGATCTTTGGTACCTTCTGTGTTACAGACTGATGCTGAGAAACACCAGACAGATGTGTACAAAGATGATTTGAGGAGACAGGTAAAACATTGTTTTCACACTATGGTAGCTTGTAGAAGACAATGATTGACAGTATTTTAGTCTGCTGTTAATTATTATGTAGATTCACTCCATTTGATATGTTGTGAGTTGCCTCCCTTTGATCCACAGTTTGGTTGGAATATGATCTGTTGTCTTTCAGTGGCATTTAGAAGTTGTACATAGATGTCCAAGATATTTTTATGGATTAAACTTCTTTTTTATTTCCCTCACGACCTTTCGAGACGATTCCAGGTCCCTTCATCAGGTGAACTGACAGTTGATAGTCACCTGATGAAGGGACCTGGAATGGTCCCGAAACGTCGTGAGGGAAATAAAAAAGAAGTTTAATCCATAAAAATATCTTGGACATCTATGATCTGCACATTTTGTCCTTCCAGTAATTGTCTTAATTCCTGCATCAATTTGTGATTTCCTATTCAGTTTTACTGCTTTGTGATATAAAGATATCATTAAGTTACCATGTACATGACTTCATATGGATCATGATACGTGACCAGATCACTGACAACTCTAGATCTTGTTACTATTGGACTTCTCCAACCCTCGAGTCATCACCATCAAGAAGTACCTAGGCAAGTCAGCCTGTCCCTTGAAACAATGTATTCATTTTATTATACAAATTTGGGGTGATAGTTGTGTGTGATGGGTATAGGTTATGTTTGATAAATGAACTATATGTCTGTGAGGTGTGGCTTGTTACTGATGGGTGTGACTTGTGTCTCATGGGTGTGGCTTGATGTGTGATCACAGATTGAGGCAAAGAAGGCAGCAGCTGCTCTGGAGCGAGAGAAGGAGAGGTACGAAGAAGAGAAGGAGCAACGTAGGATAGAGGCGGAGAGGAAGAGAATGCAGGAGGAGTATGAGGAGGAACGCAAGAAGATAAAATTGAAGGAGGATGAGGTAAGTGTCTTTTATCTGAGAGTTTGAATGCTACTGACTCCCTGACAAATAATTCTTTTGGAATCAGGCAGACAATATCTAGCCCAACCTACCTTTATGGTTTACTATCAAATAGGGACTACTGTAAGGCATGTGTAAAATAATTTGAATATGCAAGTTTATTTGGTTGGATAGGTGCCCGACAAGTATCAGTAGTCTGAAATAGGCAATAACAGATGCTTGTATTGTGTTGTTTGTATAGAGATAGAATTCACTTGTTAAACCAACATTGACATGAGGGTGCCATGTTGCCAGGCTCGGAGGAAGAATGAAGAGTTGATGAGACAAGCCGAGGAGAGGAAAAGAGAGACTGAACAGCGGAGACTTGATGCCGATAATGAAAGGAGGAGAGAGCAGGAGGAAGCAGATAGAGAGAGGCTGGAGAGAGAGGTAGGGAAAGAACAGTATCACCACTGCTGGGAAGGTATTGGGCAGATAGAGGGAGGCTGTAGGGGAGAGCACAGCATCACCACTGCTGGGAAGGTATTGGGCAGACAGAGGGAGGCTGTAGAGAGAGCACAGTATCAACATGCTGGGAAGGTATTGGGCAGATAGAGGGAGGCTGTAGAGAGGTAGGGAGAGCACAGTATCAACATGCTGGGAAGGTATTGGGCAGATCGAGGGAGGCTGTAGAGAGGTAGGGAGAGCACAGTATCAACACTACTTGGAAGGTATTTGGCAGATGGAAGGAGGCTGTAGAGAGAAGTAGGTAGAGAGAGCACAGTATCACCACTGCTGGGAAGGTATTGGGCAGATCGAAGGAGGCTGTAGAGAGAGGTAGGGAGAGCACAGTATCAACATGCTGGGAAGGTATTGGGCAGATAGAGGGAGGCTGTAGAGAGGTAGGGAGAGCACAGTATCAACACTACTGGGAAGGTATTTGGCAGATGGAAGGAGGCTGTAGAGAGAGGTAGGGAGAGAGAGCACAGTATCACCACTACTGGGAAGGTATTGGGCAGATCGAAGGAGGCTGTAGAGAGAGGTAGGGAGAGAGAGCACAGTATCACCACTGCTGGGAAGGTATTGGGCAGACAGAGGGAGGCTGTAGAGAGGTGGTAGGGAGAGCACAGTATCAACACTACTGGGAAGGTATTGGGCAGATCGAGAGGGGAGGCTGTAGAGAGAGGTAGGGAGAGAGAGAGCACAGTATCACCACTGCTGGGAAGGTATTGGGCAGATCGAGGGAGGCTGTAGAGAGAGGTAGGGAGAGAGAGCACAGTATCACCACTGCTGGGAAGGTATTGGGCAGACAGAGGGAGGCTGTAGAGAGTGGTAGGGAGAGAGAGCACAGTATCACCACTACTGGGAAGGTATTGGGCAGATCGAGGGAGGCTGTAGAGAGAGGTAGGGAGAGAGAGCACAGTATCACCACTGCTGGGAAGGTATTGGGCAGACAGAGGGAGGCTGTAGAGAGAGGTAGGGAGAGAGAGCACAGTATCACCACTACTGGGAAGGTATTGGGCAGATCGAGGGAGGCTGTAGAGAGAGGTAGGGAGAGAGAGCACAGTATCACCACTGCTGGGAAGGTATTGGGCAGATCAGAGGGAGGCTGTAGAGAGAGGTAGGGAGAGAGAGCACAGTATCAACACTACTGGGAAGGTATTGGGCAGATCAGAGGGAGGCTGTAGAGAGGTAGGTAGGGAGAGAGCACAGATATCACCACTACTGGGAAGGTATTGGGCAGACAGAGGGAGGCTGTAGAGAGAGGTAGGGAGAGAGAGGTAGGGAGAGAGAGCACAGTATCAACACTACTGGGAAGGTATTGGGCAGACAGAGGGAGGCTGTAGAGAGAGGTAGGGAGAGAGAGCACAGTATCACCACTACTGGGAAGGTATTGAGCAGACAGAGGGAGGCTGTAGGGAGAGCACAGTATCAACACTACTGGAAAGGTATTGGGCAGATAGAGGGAGGCTGTAGAGAGAGCACAGTATCACCACTACTGGAAAGGTATTGGGCAGATCGAAGGAGGCTGTAGAGAGAGGTAGGGAGAGAGAGCACAGTATCACCACTGCTGGGAAGGTATTGGGCAGACAGAGGGAGGCTGTAGAGAGAGGTAGGGAGAGAGAGCACAGTATCACCACTACTGGGAAGGTATTGGGCAGATCAAGGAGGCTGTAGAGAGAGGTGGGAGAGAGAGCACAGTATCACCACTGCTGGGAAGGTGGGCAGAGCAGACAGAGGAGGGCTGTAGAGAGAGGTAGGGAGAGAGCACAGTATCACCACTGCTGGGAAGGTATTGGGCAGACAGAGGGAGGCTGTAGAGAGAGTAGGGAGAGAGAGCACAGTATCAACACTACTGGGAAGGTATTGGGCAGACAGAGGGAGGCTGTAGAGAGTGGTAGGGAGAGAGAGCACAGTATCACCACTACTGGGAAGGTATTGGGCAGATCGAAGGAGGCTGTAGAGAGAGGTAGGGAGAGAGAGCACAGTATCACCACTACTGGGAAGGTATTGGGCAGATCGAGAGGAGGCTGAGGGAGACTGGGTAGAGAGAGGCACAGTATCACCACTGCTGGGAAGGTATTGGGCAGATCGAGAGGAGGCTGTAGGAGAGAGAGCACAGTATCAACACTACTGGGAAGGTGTTGATTGGACAGATTGAGGAGGCTGTAGAGAGGGTAGGGAGAGAGCACAGTATCAACACTACTGGGAAGGTATTGATTGGACAGATTGAGGGAGACTGGGTAGGGAGAGCACAGTATCAACACTACTAGGAAGGTATTGGACAGATTGGACAGGGAGGAGAGAGGGGGTAGGGAGAGCACAGTATCACCACTACTAGGAAGGTGTTGATTGGACAGATTGAGGGAGACTGGGTAGGGAGAGAACACAGTATCACCACTACTGGGAAGGTATTGGGCAGATAGAGGGAGGAGGGAGAGATTGGGTAGGGAGAGAGAGCACAGTATCAACACTACTAGGAAGGTGTTGATTGGACAGATGGAGGGAGACTGTAGAGAGACTGGGTAGGTGAGAGCACAGTATCACCACTACTGGGAAGGTGTTGATTGGACAGATTGAGGCTGACTGAGAGAGGTAGGGAGAGAGAACACAGTATCACCACTTCTGGGAAGGTGTTGATTGGACAGATTGAGGGAGACTGGGTAGGGAGAGCACAGTATCACCACTACTGGGAAGGTGTTGATTGGACAGATTGAGGGAGACTGGGTAGGGAGAGCACAGTATCACCACTACTGGGAAGGTGTTGATTGGACAGATTGAGGGAGACTGGGTAGGGAGCACAGTATCACCACTACTGGGAAGGTGTTGATTGGACAGATTGAGGGAGACTGGGTAGGGGAGAGCACAGTATCACCACTACTACTGGAAAGGTGTTGATTGGACAGATTGAGGGAGACTGGGTAGGGAGAGCACAGTATCAACACTACTGGGAAGGTGTTGATTGGACAGATTGAGGGAGACTGGGTAGGGAGACTGGGTAGGGAGAGGTGGAGACTGGGTAGGAGAGGATGGATGTGTGTTGAAAGCAAGGATGTATGGGAACTAATAAGAGAAAAACATTTCAACAATTTTGTTTATAAGAGATTTGTGTGTGTATTGTGGCATTTGATATGTATATTATACGTTTATAGTCACAAGGTCAGTCTTGGTACAATATCTAATGACTAATCATTGACCAAACAACCAGCATCTAATGTCAGATTTTTTATAAAAAGCTCAGTACTTCATCTTCAACAATTTCCACTTCCTTCAACTGTAACAGTTATCAGTGATGTGTTTCTCTGGTTTCGGGGTAGCAGTAACTTTTAATATTCTATGTAATTCTTTGTGTTGTCATGGAGACAAATTAACAAGGATTCCAAGAGTAGTGGGTATTCTTACATAGCATTGTAATCTATATTGTAGTCCCTAATATAACTCTCATACATTTAACTACTACTGTAATATTATGAGACAAAAATCCCTTTTTTATCTTTAGTACGGCTTCATCATTATCATCATCAGCAGCATTGTTATGCTTTAGATATTACTAGATACTAAGTTTGTAATCTGTCAAGTGGCGAATTTTTTTGGTCATTTTCAACAACATTTTATCTGGGGAGAAAAACAGGAGTCATATTTGTGACCTGTGTGTGAGATGTTGCAGTTAACATGCACTGTCAGGTTGTTGATGCAGTCAGATGCTGACTATCAGCTGCTCAGCTTCAGGGCCTTCATTACTGGTCTATGAGACATTTTATATTCATGTATTTTGACCACTCATTAATTTCCAGGCTGCAGAGCGAGGAAAATCTCCCCCATTGCCTGCAGTGGGGAGAAAGCAGGCAACTGAGAGCACATCGGTAATGCATTCACCCAGACTTGGGTAACACTCATTATTGTGGCTTTTTGCTGGCAGGGATTTGCTGTACATGTCATTTCATCTTGCCTGATTATTGCAAACTATGCAAATATTGTAGTAAACATTTTATCTCTCAACAACCTATCTAATACCTAATATTCCCTTTCTGTATTTAATGTACTGCTATAGTACTTCTGCTTAGAACTATATTTTGGTTATATCTGTAGCACTAAGATTTACGTTTATGTACCATTCTATTTATATATTTTCTACGTACCCTTATTTTATCTTTAACTATATAATGCACCCTTCCAGGAACCCGCTGATAAAGCGCTTACTTATCGAGCATCCTCCCCCCCTGTGCCAGCTGCTAGAACCAGTCTTGCTGCCGAGAATCGGCCTCACTCAGTTGCTAAGCAACAAAATGAAGAGGCTGAAACCCGCTATGTGCCCTCCGCGCTTTCCAGTAGAATAGATGCGCCTTCGGTAATCTTGGCTTCCTATCCCAGGGGGAGATAATTCTTGTCAAGAATTTCTCCTCTGGTCCTCACATGCTGTGTACATGAATTTGCGAAAAAGAACTATCATCGATTTTTATGACATATTCAGACAAACGTGTATGTGAATGAAGTATTGAGCCTGTCTTTAGTAACAATTGTAAACTCAACACAGAAAATTCAACTATTCAGTGCTTGAAAAAAATTGGTCCATAAATTGCAATTTAAAATTCTGACTTGAATTTTCATTCATGCAGATGATAATTCTGTGCTTCTTATTAGGAATCAGTAACAGGAATCAGTAGCAGTTTACTTTGTAATATGCATGTATGAGTAGTTGCCTGTAAACATTGAATAGGTTAGAATTAACTAATGCATGACAGTTCCTTTGTAACATAGCATACATAAGCTTACCATTAATAATGCTAACATAGCAAGGCTGATCTCTTTATTTTTTCTTAGGTATTAGTAAAGCATTGCTTTCAAATTTTGTTATAGCTTGACCGAGGTCGTTCCCCAGTTGACAGAGCTCCAGTAAGTAGCATGTGAAATGTCAGTGTGTTCATCAGGATTTTATGTTGACAGACATATTGTCTATTTCTTTTTGTTTGTTTTTTATTTGCAAGGTTTGTTGGCAAATGTGAGAGAAAGTCAGTGGGCATACTATTGACATTTGCACAACATAAAGATGTTTATGAATTTGTTTTCACAAGTATTTGATAAGTTTATGTAAAAAGCTTGTTAAATACAAGACCTTTTATGCTCTTTTGGAATATGCTGATATTGTGTAATGTTAACAAGTATTTTCTTTCATATGAATCAATAATATATTAATTAGATTTCCGAATTGCAGAAAATAGTTTCTTCAGCAGAAAATATTTGACAATTTTAAGATTTCTTAAGACATCTACCCAAGTAAATGTAGAATATTTGCGTTTGTGTGTGGCAGAAATGTGAGCCTTAAAACATTTTGAATCTTTTAAAGAATTACATATAACTTGTAACTTGATACGAAACAAGAAGTGTGAAGCAGACGGTTGTATCATGGAGTCCTAATGGTATTAATGTTGATCTGTTGTTTGTTTCAGTCTTCCTCAAGAGCTCCAAGTAAGTATTAGCTACGTGTGTTTGAGAGAATGTGAAGCTGGTATCAGTGTTGCATGTAGGAGTGCCCTGTGAAGATCAAGGTTGTATCATCATCTCCTAGTTGCTTAGATTGATGCTCACAATGTGTAATAACAGACCACAGTCATGTAATTTTACCTTAACCGGACTCATACGCTAAAGCAAATAGAAATAGTCAGGATAAGTATAAAATAATATTTTTTTCTAAAAAATACATGTTGGAATATCAATACTGGTCATGTGATGCTGAGTTTGGCAAAAACAACAACAGTATAGTCACAACATAAACAGGTCAGAGTCACATTTGTGACATTTCTGGGAAAGTCATCTGTATCTAAGAACTATGAATGCATGTGAATATAAAAACGTAAACAGCTAAATTGGGTGAGGTGGATGCTTGATCCTGATGGTGAGTGGCTTCTCTCCAGGTGCTGACATCCTGAATGCTCTGGCCAGGATGAAGCATCAGTTGGCCTCCGAGAGAGACAGAGTGGAGACCATGCTGGACAAGAATGAAGTAAGTATACCACATCTATCTTGCTCAAGTAGTAACATAGCTCAAACTATAGAGCACGAAGAGTATCACGTTAACACCCAGCATTACGTTATTTGGTGATAGAGTGTATAAGTTTCAGTGTATAATGCCTACAATGTCTCCTCAACTTGATATCATTGAGGTGAGAAAATTGTCATACGTCTCAACTAACTCAATTGTTCTTGCCATGAAACAGGAATTCTCTAGCTCATGCATGGGCTTTTGTTTTGTGACTTCCTGTTTGCAGTGTAGAGTGAGTGAGTGAATATTGCTTAACATTACATCATAAATGTTCCCGTCTTGTTTCAGAATGAGCCTGAGGTGTTTGATCCGAGGTTAGCACAGAGGCCCCCGCCAGTTCCGTAAGTTGAAGTCTTGTCTCAGCACGGGGGGTATATCTTGCTGGCATGTAGCTGGAATATTGCTGAGTGTGTCATTAAACAATCAATGCAGCCATAGACATGCAGGATGGACACATTTATAAGGTTTCTGTAAAAGTAAGCAGATGGTTGGGCAAACTCTTTGACTCAGTTGATTGCTCATCATGGCACCCTGAAGGCATGAGACCTTTTTAGGCTTTTTTCTGGCAATAACTTGTTTTCAGTCCAACATTAAGCATTATCTTGTTTACCTTCAGCAAGTCATGCTTGAGGCAACTATCAGCATTGGGTGGTCAGGCTCCATAACATGGCTGTTGCATGTCATCATGTCCCAGTTGTTTGCATCAGTGCTCATGATGTCAATCACTGGATTTTCTGGTCCAGATTAGTTACAGATGTAGTGGGAATGTTGCTCAGTGTGGTTTTAAACAACAGACAAACAAACAGATTTGTTGTTTGTATGCTACAGACGGGTTCAGCGTGACATAGATGTGTTTGAGATGGCACGTAACCGAAACACCGTTCCAGTGAGACGAGCGCCAACAGCAGACAACAATCCTAATCCAGATCACCTGCGCGAGTTCCACAGTCTCAAACAAGGTACAGTGACTCTCCGGCACCAAGCATTCCACCTCAGTAGCCTTCCTAGAATCAGAAATTGAAATGTTTGATGAAGCTGTTTTGGTACACTGTATCATTTGATTTTGCAGTAAGTGCTGATTTAGAACTTTTCTGCTGATTAAACATTTCAATCTGATCAATTTGTGAAGGAAATCAGATTGTTTCTTGATTAGATGTGTTTTTAGGGTTTAACATTTGGTGGATAGGGAGTAGAGGTTCATTTCTTGGGGCATACTGAACATTTTACGTACATTTTATCTACTTCATGCTGAACAAAACTACAAATTCTCCTGGTGACTTTCTTTATGTTGTGTATTCTGAAATTGTGCTTCTGTGTGCGTGTTACTGTTAAATCTACTTGCACATTTTAGTATACAATCTTGTTCCACACAGAGCTACACTCTAGTCAGGGGAGGTAACTCCTTATTACCTCCCCTTGTCCACACTCAACTGTGTATAGCAGTGGTAGTTCATTGTGTACATCTTACTGTGTGAAATGTGTATTCTGCATCAGTGTTTGCAAACCTTTCTGTGATGTATTTGCACCACTTTGTCAGCTGACACAGATTCTAGACAAGAATTCCAGCGACACTTTCCATATGACCCGATGTCCAACGACCATCTGGAGCAGCAGCAGGCTGCACTCATCCGACAGCAGGAACAGACTCTCCGGGAATTGAGGGGCAAAAGTGAGAAACCATAACTTGTTATGTGCATGTCCATAATCTGAATCAACAAGGAAGTAGTATTCTGTCAGTTAGGCCATATATCTCTGCATTGAACATTACAGTCAGCAGGGTTGGGAATCAATATATATTTTCACTTGAATGCAAAAACGATCTTTCACAGAGTTGTCATTTGCCTAATGGTAATAGTGAAAGTCCACATGTAAAATGTTATTTGTACTTCCTGAATTTCCCAAGTATAATTCAAATTTAATGTTTTGAACCATGCCAGGCCTATAGATGTCTGATTTCATCTGTATTTCATATTTCAATGCCATTAAGTCTTGGATTTTGTATCATTGGTTTGAAATATGGTAATATGTTTCCTTGTTAAAGGAAAGTGTCCTGTTTTATGTTGCCTCTGATAAAGCTGTTGCTTCTTTTTTTAAAAAGTGGAAAACTGGAAGAAGATGCTGCTTAGATCCTATATATTAATTAATCAGAAAATAATTACCACTTGATTGATTTATTTACTGTTTGTTATGTGAAATGAGGGGAATGCTTTCTCCATTCATTCCCCCTCACAAGTACCATCAAATATTTTCCAAAGAATCTAGAAGATTGCTTGCCGTTGCTTAAGGGATACTGCCAGTTTTTTGCTTGAAGTCTTTGCACCTCTTCCTCCTATGTCTTGTCTCTCCACACATTCTGTCCTGGATTTCAGAACTTACGTAAGGTTATGTTCTGTAGATTGATTGTATCTCACCAGTACAGACTGGATTAGAGATAAGAGATTCATGTAGGAAGTAAGTTTGTTTTTGTTTTTTCTCACTTGTTAGTAAGGAGCAGTTTAAGCATGGCCGACATGGAAGGTTTGTTGAAATGGTGTAATAGAGAGAGTCAGAAAATAGCTACTTTTCTTTTTGAGTAAGAGAATAGTCACCTACCTGTCCTTTTGAAGGTCAGAAAATAGCTACTTTTCTTTATGAGTAAGAGAATAGTCACCTACCTGTCCTTTTATGGGTCAGAAAATAGTCATATACCCTTCTTTTTGAGTCAGAATAGTCACTTACCTGTCCTTTTGAAGGTCAGAAATTAGTCAGCTTCCTTTCTGTGTGAGTTGGATAATAATCATCTTACTATCCTTTAGAAGCCTTTCCTTTTGAGGGGATTTTGTATGTAAGCCTAGGTATCCTCTGTTGGATGATTCCTAAAACTTAAATAATATACTAGATGTGACTCATAGAGTTGATACATTACTCTTAATCATGGGGTTTCTGTCAGACTGACAGTTGTAAGTGAGGTGGGAAGGAAATAAGATGAACGACATGCTGGTCCAATTCCATGTGATCAGCCATTATTTTTAAAGGTCACATGCAACCAAAAAATCAAACATAATTAAAACACAATTATCACTTATTCATTTATTAAAAAAAATCCCAATGAAGTTCTTGTAGATATTTGGCTTTCCTTTATTTGTGATATTGGGGGGCAGATTATGGGTGCAAATGCTTCCAATTTTGCATATAACCAAGCTTTGTAGATTTGGTACGATTAATGGACAAACTATTGGAAGAATTTCTCTCAACACAACCACTTGTAGCATGTCTACTTATGCTCATTCTTGTATATTGTTTTTAGATGAAATAACCGATAGAATTCTACTCACAGCTGCCTTTGTGAGTTTTGTAGTTTAAGTATAGTGTTAACAGTTGCCCTCCTGTTGATCTGGAATGATATGGAGTCAAGTCCATCAACAGATGTCTAACTGTTTACCTAACGGCTTCTTGACCTCCAGCTCAGAGACATCTGCACCAATTAAACTATAGACAGTAAAGTATGCATATCACAATATTGGAAATCTAGATCTGTACTTGGTTTCATGTTACACAAGTAGAGACTCTTAAGATATAAATTATTCATAGATTATATACTTCCTAATGCACTAGTTTGCCTTGGATATTAATAATTCATCAGTATGGATTTTCATTTTAGTGTGTGGTAATATGAAAATCGAATTTAGAATTTAGAAAGTCATATTTCAGTCTAAATGTGTTTAATGTTCAAACACTTCCTTGCTTGAAGGTATTTGTTTTTTAATAGATTAAATACAGTTAGATGGAGTTGTAGTAGATAAAACTAAGGTGTGTCCAGTAGAGAGAAATATAGCTTGCCCACCTTCATAGGCTGTGCTTAATGAGAGTTCATTGTAGGTGTGTTAGTGTGTTTTAATAACATCTTTCTTTGAAGATCTCCAGTAATAAAAGACAAGTTTTGCTTACTTTATGTTAATTAACTAGATAACTAGAGAGTATTGTAGGTGTCTTAGTGAGTTTTATCATAAGCCTCTCTCTTTGAAGATCGCCTATATTTAAGTACACATAATGCTTATATGTTATTATTGAGGCCAGTGTAGGTGTTTTGCTCAGTTTTAACTCTGGCATCTTTCCTATTCTAAATGAACCATAAATGTAAATCAGACAAATATTAATGTGTATTTTCTAATGTCACTTGTTCTTGCTTTAAGTGTGATGTTTGTGTTGTAACAGTCTGTCCCTAGACTTTGTGTGTATACATTGTGTCAAACTTCTGATAGCTGTGTAGGCAGGTTAATGATGCCTCTCCCTAATAGCCTCTGTGTATTAAGCAATCCGTCCTAGCTGTCTTTACACACTCTCGTCTTTATCACAGGCAAGTTTGAGAAGGCTCTGCCCAACATGGAGCCTAAAGACTTAGGCTTGAATCGTCATCGCACAATCAGTCCACAGCCAATGCTACAATCCAACAGTGCCTTTATAGGTTAGTCACACAGCTGTCACGCATCCAGGTCACGTCACCACCGTCGTCAGTAGCACTGCACGTCAACTCATGCAATCCTTAGACGTGTGTGAGCTGGAAATCTGGTGTCACAAACTGTTAATAACAAAATCAACATGTCCCTCATAGGATGCCTCTTCCTTTACTGTTTTGAAAATTTTGTGATTTGCTTCAAAATTTTGTTAAATTTACATGTGAGTATTGAACAGAATGGTAATGAAATTGAAATTTTCTCAGGAAATTTATTTTGAACTTTGACAATATTTTCTGTATGTAAGAATGCAGTATCATAATTTTGATGCTTTGATTTTATTGAATAGAGGGAAACCGCTTTGATTTTGACACTGCAGTACCTACTTGAAATGTATGAATTCATGTATATCTGGATTAGCGAATCTGTTACTATGTAATGTAGTGATATATATTTGTATATTCTTTATGAGTGATCATCCAAAAGACAGATGTCCATACTGAAGTGTTTCACAGTAATAGAATATAAAGTGCATGTCAGTAGAACATCACTCTGTTATTGAGGGGAGGTGGGGTAGCCTAGTGGTTAAAGCGTTCGCTCGTCACGCCAAAAACTCAGGTTCAATTCCCCACTTTGGTAAAATGTGTGAAGCCCATTTCTGGTGTCCCCCGTCGTGATATTGCTGGAATATTCCTAAAAGCGGCGTAAAACTATACTCGCTCACTGTTATTGAGACCGACTGTTAAACTGCCCCACAACAGGTAACACATGAAAACATATCTGAAATTAACCTAGTAACATTGCTCAAACTCTGAAGATAAATAGATTGTCCATGGTCAGTGCTTCAAGACCCTGTGTTTTCGGGACTTCATATGTTACCCTAAGCAAAGAGATGTGTTATCACTTAGAGGATCTTAAACTTTGTCCTCAATACAGCCCACATGCTAAATGTCTAAGGATTGCACAGTTGACATGTAAGTGGCACCACAGGTTCAGCATGACATGTTCCATGACAGTTTTCTCTGCATGGGTATTCACATTAAACTGTTTAACAAATTGCATGACCGTTTATTTCAGCATCCAGTGGATAACTAACCAGTTTTATTTCATCAAGTGCAGGTTCACTACGCTGAGTTGTATATCATGTATATTATACCAGTGTAGGAAATACACCAAAAACCCAGCCAGACATCTGGGCTGGTAACATCAAAAACTTACCAGCCCAGGAGAGATTTAACCAGTCAGTGCCAGTGGGCATTTTATCGGAATTTTTCACCCGTCCATCGGGCTGGCTAGCTGTAAAATTAGACTGTCCGGCAGAAATCTAGCCCGTCTCGGGCGGTCGGACGGGACGTATTTCATATACTGATTATACATGTGCCTGCAGGTTTTCACAACACCTACTACAGGTCTAGGCACTGTAGGAGTGCCTGTTTGTCAGTGAAACACCTTGTGTGGAAGATTTGTGCATGATTCACATGGCTCAGCATCAAGTCTTTGATAGACAGTATTAGATGAAGGCATGAAGTTTTTATGGATAACGACTTCTTCATTGTCTGTTACATTTAAGGGCTACTTCTTTAACTTTCACACGGGGCAGTGGAGTAGCCAAGTGGTTTGCTTGTCCAGCCAAAGACTTGGGTTCAATTGCCCAAATGTGTACAATGTGTTAAGCCCATTTCTGTGTCCCCGGTCGTGATATTGCTAAAAGTGGGGAAAAAAACTTGACTCACTCACTCACTACACTTTCAACCAGTGAATCTGAAAAAATATTTCAGGTCTTCCTCGAGTACTTTCACCATGTCAGAGAGTAATGACATGTCAGTGGTACCTGTTAAACATCCATCAGGTGAATCAGTGTCAGAGTTGCTTTTCTTCCTTTGAAAGGCCAAGAAGTAGCCCTATGATGTCATTACTGACAATAAAGATGATGTTGGCCAGAAGTTCTGTCTTCATGTTCAGCATGCTCAGAATGAAGTTTCACCGTTAATGTGTCTAACATCAGGAACAAGAATTTGCTGGTAGAAGGTGTTGGTTAATCTGTTCAATTTTCGTAGAAGAGTTGAAAATCAGGTTTTGGAGGGATATACTTTTCATTTTCTAACACTATACTTTGGTTTTTATGAAATACTTTTCTCAGTTTTTGTCACTTTGGTTTTTCAAATTATCTCAAGGGTATGTTACACAGTTTGTATTAATATTTTCCACCTTGTTTAAGTGATTTAATGTTAATATTAGTTATTAAATGATTATGACCTCCAGGATAATGTATGGAATATTTGATACTTTGATATATTTCCTGATCCTCTTTTCTTCAGTTGAAAATATTATTTATTTTCCTTATTTAATTTCTAAAATTGTATTCAAATGTAAAAGCATATCTATTGTTCCACCAATGTAGTGATGTTGGATTTGAACAAGTGCTCTCATATAGAGCTGTGTCGAATATGGTCTGTAGTGGCTGCTTGCCATGTTTAGCTAGGATCCCAATATATCTGACTGGGTTGGTGTAATAGTTATCTGAGAACCAGCTGTGACTGTATGGCTGTGGTCCATCACTCATACCCTGTAACCCAGCACACGGATATGTTCCTCTTTCTTGCACCCTTCACACATGCATCAAATGTTGCCAGTTATGCTATACCGAGAAATATTAAGATATTCATCATCAAAATTCATGTAACATTCAATATTCAGAATATTATCACTTCAGAATTTACTTTTTAAAATAAAGTGTTTTAATATTCAGTGTAATGAGATACCTCCATACAACTGGCAAGATTTGATGCTGCTCATTCCCAGTTTCAACATGGTGTTGTATCAATCTATGTTCGCCACTTGTATGATCTAATACATCCATGCATGCAACACTAATGAGAGATTTATCTATGATGTTGATTTTTAAAACTATCTATGGTTTTGTGTGACATTTTAGTTATGACTATGTTTTCATAGTAAATATATGATTTTTTCTTATCTTCAATTCTTGCATTCTAAAGTATGATACTATTCTTAATGATCTTTCACAAACTGTTTCATTTGTTTAAGCATAATTTGAAACAGGTTTGATATGTTGGAAGGTAGGTTAGTTATAAGATCCAAATGTGTATGGATACAGGAATGCATTATTCCTGCTGAGGTCCAGAGTTGCTGCCATAACCATGTTGTCATTTCGTGTAATGACATCTTCAATATCACAGATATGAATGGACTTGGACCAGTGTTCCCAGATGACCTTGATGACCTCCCACGTCGGAATGAATCCGCTCGGCAGCGACGTAGAGAGGGACTCTTTACTAGCCCCAGGGTAGGATTTACATACATGGACAGTTCGAAGTTAACAGCTGTTCTTGGGTCCATGAGATTTGCTTCCATGTTTTCTTTAAAAAGGGACTGTGATAAATCATTAATTTTTAACACTAGGGTTAAAAAGACAGGGACCTCTTAACTTACATTCTTAATTACAAATATTGTGCATGGCACATATGGAGTTTGGTGGAGCCTAGTAATTAAAGCATCCACTCGTCAAGCTGAGGCCAAAGTTCGATTCCCTACATGGGCACGTTGTGTGAAGCTCATTCCCAGTGTCTCCTACCATGATGTTACTGGAATATTGCTAGAAGTAGTGTAAATCCCAGCTGACTCACTCACTAACAACATATACTAACTGATTTACGAAAAAAAATAGATTTAAAAATTGATCCTACTGAGGCAGAGTATGCCATGTTTGGAGATGGCTATAAGTGGTGCAGGGATAATCCAATAGTCAGAGTACTTACATATAACACTGGACAATAATACTTCGAGTTAACATAAAGAGAAATTGTTCTTAAAGTTTCCCAAATTTTAAAGTCTACAAAATTCTTGCCTGTTGTTTTAGCCTGGGTCAGTGACAAGCCTAGATGTGGATCAGATTGCCAGGAAGAATGAGCAGCGTCTGAAGAAACTCCGCGACATCCAAGGTAGCAGCAGCATTGCTATTCACACTCTGTATAAAACATGGAGAGCTGATCATGATAGAAAACTTTGTATACTGATATTTGATAAAACTGATATTGATTTTATCAGAACAATTTCCTTCACTGGTGGCTCAGTGGTCTAGGTTGCTGCAATATGTTAGCAGAGTTGTGTCCCTTAGATATACAAGGAGCCACTGATTTCACTTGACTTGATCCTGATACTGTTAGCTACATCGTCATGCTTGTGAGTTTCACCTTTGCTATAAATGTGGGATTTCAAGCTGGCTCTCATGATCAGATTGAAAATATATAGAGTTCAAGGTGATGCTTTTTATCACAGAATGAATGTGACAATAAGGTGTTCCTACATTTCCAGGTGATGATTTGTCTCTGAACGACCCCGATGATGTCCTGGACAGGTTCATGTCAAAACAAGCTCACAACAGGTAGGATTGACTAGTCACAGTTATAGGATTACTTCAGTATCTGAAGATAAGCTTTGAAACTTCATGCTTGTTCCTATGGTAACCTACTGAAGCTGACCAGTATCACAACTGTGACGTGCATGGGTGTTTGTAATTAACACGCTTCAAAATACATGTTGAATGTCATTAAACATAGATTTAACCAGAATTGGGTCTTGTCGTTTGCACCTTAACTCTTTTATTTGCAGTTTTCACTTTTATATTAAAGAAATGATTTAAATTGCATTTTGTTGATAATGGATGTCACGAAATAACTTTATTTACTGTTTTTTTGCTAAGTTAGATGTGTTTGATAAGTTAACTGATTCATATATTTCCAACTTGCACAGGGATTTTGTAACTGAGCTTGATTCAGAGAGCGATACCTTTGTAAGTTCCATATAGAACTGACATATACATAATACATTAGACCTGGCTTAGCTATCCTGAAGATCAGTATCACAGCCAGGTGCTGCAGCACAGCCTAGTGTTTGTGAACTAATATCTAGTGAATGTTTGTTACTAATCAATTATTTTCCGTGAAGAAATTGGACCTCTACTGTAGAATTGCTTTGAATAAGTTGTAGGATGCATAAGTCATGTCTTCCATGAAGATTATTAACAAATTTCAGTTTGAATCAGTAAATATAAAGTTTATCCAAACTGAAATCGAGTTAATATTATATTGAAATTTGACCCTTTTGTCTTCTTTTGGCCCAGCAAGTAGATTATGTTTAAAGTGATTTGCTCTTTTACACAACTCAGACAATTTGACTAGTTTGATGATATTTGGCCAAATTGTCAGTAAATGAATTTTTAAAAATGATGTTGATTACCAGATCTACCAGTATTTTTGTTTCCTTGATTACCATTCATGATTGCAATAGCACTTGCACATCTGTACAGTATAGCAGCTACTAATGACGTCAATCAGCTTGATGGGAGTACGCATGACCAGCTCCACTGCACGCTGCCAGCACATTATACAACTAACACATAGCTGACCTAACACTTTGCTATTGCAGATACTACCCACTACTATTCCCACAATGACATGGGTTTAACCCAGGTAGCAATGTAACAATGCCCGACAGTGTGTGGATTTAATCCTAGATGTGCCCTTCTTCTCGGATATCAATTCATGTAGAAGTGCTCTATTTCCAACCATGCTACAACTGTAGATGAATTATTCTGGTTTGATATTTTGGTAGTTACAGATAAAAAGATGTGTATATTTCTTTCCTTCATGTGTGCTATCCTATGAAGACTGTCAGATAATGTTCTTGTTCCAAAGGGGCCCCAGTGTACCATGCTTGTCAGGTTTCTAATGACGGGTGCAGTAGGGTAACCTAGTGGTTTAAGCGTTTGCTCGTCACTCTGACGGCCCGTGTACGATTACCCTCATTGGTACAATATATGAAGCCCATTTCTGGTGTCCCCTGCTCTGATATTGCTGGAATATTGCTAAAATCGGCGTAAAACCCAACTCACTCATTCACTCTATTCAGGTGGTTACAGTGTGTAACCTGGTTGATTATATACTACCCAATGTTTGATAGGGATAACCAGACATATTTCTCTGTATAAATATACACTTGACATAGTTTATGTACCATAGGTCGAAGTAGCCCTTGTACAGGTCACCGTTCACACATCACCTGTATGATTGTTCATGCTATTAACTCCTTGTTTTTCTGGCCTGATTTAAGACCCAGGGTGTCCAGGTGAGAATAGGTCCCTAGGAACCTATGCTTGTTGTAAAAGGCGACTGGATTGGGTGGTCAGTCTTCGTGACTTTGTTGAATGCATTGTACCCTGGTGGTGTGGATGGATCACAAGGTTTAACAGTCCTGACTTTGCTGGTCGTCTTATGTCGCTACAGTGTAATTCAGAGCAGCATAAACTGCCAAGCAACAAAACTTTTCTTTTGGATTGCAGGCCACCATAATGTGTTTTGAATATTGCTGACTTTGGAGTTATAACATCTTTAGTTCCTCTGAGTTTTGTTCTGGGTTTGTCAGCACCATCCCCAAGCTTATTGGTTTCACCGAGTGTAAATCTGTCAAACATCTGTGGCTGCATCACTTTGTGTTACCCTCCCACATACACTGAAACACTGGTGTATATCTGAAATGCTATTTGACATTGACCCTCTCAGTCTACAATGATATGACTAAAACATTGTAAACAATATGAATGGAATATATGGAGTTGGACTAACAACATAGTAACAAGTTAACATAAGTTAATCAAACACATAATGATGGTGACTGACCAATATATGATGATAACTACGTTTGGCCATCTCCACAACTGTGAGCAACAGTAAAACAGATTTATCTCACCTGTAATTGGCTGGCTACTTAGGTATACCTTAACATACAGTTATTGCTTAGTGACAGTAGTGCATGTACTATGTATGTAGATTAGATACTGTGCCCATAAATGGGGCTTCCCCATCAGCTGACAACCAGTCATGGATCTAGTCTTAGCCATTTCTCCTACAGTGATCTCTAATGACTTTATTTGAAGAAACTTATCTGAGTTGCTGATTTGAATTTAGAGATTGTTGAATACTGACGTTTGTTAGACTTTAGACAAGAGAAAAGCTTGCAACATTTTCCTATCCTCTTACCAAACAACAGATTGAACTCATAAATTCTTGTAGTGTGGTATGAATGTATGAGAGTTAGTAATGTATTATCAAGTACAATGTAATCCCATGAATAGGAATATTCATCGAGCCAGTTATGTGTATGTAATTGTGCATTTACATAATGGAGAAGTCATGATTTCCTCTACTGTAGTCAACGAGACCTTCTGCTCTTGGAATCAACAGAACCAAGTAATTTGACTAAAACCATTTTAAAGTAGATGTGTAATTTTTCCTTGATTTTTTGTTGTGATTTATTGTTCTGCTGCATTTACTTGTTTCTAAAACAAGTTTCAGATTAACCAGTATGGCTTAGAATTAACTGCAGGAACAAAAGCAGGATTATGTTTTAACTTTTGAAATTAGTCTGGATCTATTGAGAAACTATAAGAACTACAGGGTCTTCCGTTATGAATCAACTGATCTTATGAACAGAGTGAAGTATTAGAACATACAGATTCACATCATTTCACATCATACTGGAACCCAAATTCATTAACCACTGTGTTCAGTGTTTGAAATAAAACACACCCAGTATGAGCCTGAGGGTCCATATCTTAACCATAGATTTTGAAAATAAAGATTTTACTTGCCCCAGATTAAGAGACTACAGCAGAAAGTCGGAGGACCCCTCTAGTTGAAACATTGTGTATTGTGGATGAGTTTGCATGTTGCTTGTTTCAGACCCCCTACAAGTCAGACTATGCAGGATGATTCCTGGCTTCAGCCTGGCAGCAAGCTGTCCCGATACTGAGTCCGGGTCTCTCCTCCACACATAGCCTCCTCATACAGTGCTGCACATCGCCTCATCTAGCTCATCAGTGCCAGCAGAATCACAGCATGCTTCAGCTGAACATAGAGATGTCACCACGCTTCATCAGCTGACTTCTGGTCAAGGGTGCATGCTTCAGATGAACATCTGAAATGTCACCCTTACCTCATGGAATGTCATCTAGTCTAAGTGGACACACTCAGCTGAAGGATGCTTTTTCAGTGGCCTATGTTTGGCTAAGTAAAGATTAAAGATCAGCTTCTCAGCTGACTGATTTCGTGCACCATCTCCATTGACATCCTTCTGACCTTCACTTCTCCATCGCTGACATGGAAACAAGACTATTAGTGATTCCTTGAGACTATTCCAACATGTTCTGTGAAAGTTCCAAATTGTCACATGCAGCAAGGGTTCTCCTGATTGACTATAGACAGTGCTAATTGTCACTTCGTTTGCCAGTTCCAACATCTACATTCCTGCGCTCAGGAAGACATTGTTGGTGCCGTACCTGAGAATCTCTCCACAGGATGATGAGTTTGTATGAAGATTTCCACATCTATGACATAATTAATGTTCTGACAGTGTTTCTGTTTGCATGCGTCAGTTTGTGATACAGTCAGCTGTACATAGTATTGTCTTATTCATTACATTCCTGTGACATGATATTGAATATTATGTACATGCATATTACATGTCAGACAATCCATGACTAACAGATGGGACACTTGTAGATGAGAGTTATCTCCCATTCTCCATGGCCAGGGTCATACACACATATGTACATATGCATTCCATGTTTATAAGTTCACAGTATAGGATTACCTCAAGAGATGCTCTATTGTCTGTACCTTTAAGTCTTTATATCACTGATAGTGTACATATCCTATATATAAACATTGCCATACAACTTATCTCAGTGGTGAAAAGATACTCTCTGTTCAAGAGGTCTACTCTTCTAAACATGTCACTTCAAATTTCCTAGGTCCTTTCAACAGACTTTGAAGACATACTAGTTTAGAATTGGTATAACTGACATGGCATTTCCTCACATAGGACACTCAGTGGAATTCACTACATTAATATTGGATTGACTGTATAAATACTACTGGATACATGTGACCTTACTTGGCTGAATCTTAGTTGGTAGTCTTACGCACAATACCATGCCAAACTCGGCTGTCGGTCGATATAACAGACCCTGCCACACAACACAAAGTTGCACATGTTTTGTTGCCCCGTTTCTGGTTGTTCTTGGCCAAACTCTAAATATCAGATGAACATGACTGACTTTTGTGGGTTCAGGAACAATTGACATCATCTGAGATGAATGGAGCGTCAGTGTGCACTATCAGAACATGGTGTTAGAGTAGTGTCCCTTCCTCACCACCGCCTCAGTGTCCTCCTCACCATGTGACATCTCCCACACAGTATCGTCGCTGCCACCAATATCCAACATCCAGTAGACAAATCGTAAACATTTTCCCTCTAACCCAAAATGCAGTTCATTTGTTTTGTTATTTGTGTATATCTTTTCTAATGCCATCCTAGTGTATTGGGAAAGGTTCTTCTACCGACTTTATTTTTCCTGGATGAACTGAAGTTTTCTTTTGTTAATTTGTAACTGACTTACTATACCCTGGATTAACTTTTCATGTGAGTTTGAGATTTCAGACTAAAAGAAAAGCACCCAAATTCCCCCTTGTATTCCCTTTGTATCAATTACGTAATAGTTAAATTGAAACAGAAAATATTTTGGCTGGGGAAGAGTATTAACTGTCGCTACAGCCATCACTTCTTACTGACATAATGGTCAGACTGTGATGTTTACAATGATATTCATGGTTACACCTGGAAAGTTTTGTAGTGCATTGGTGGCAGCCTTTGTATAAAAGTTCTGCCGACGAGCTGTCACTGTGAGGAGTTGCCACTACCTAGGCACCTTGTCAGTTGACCTGACATGGATTTCTTAGATTGTATATTTTTTCTTTCGTCTAAGAAAAAAGTGCTGGTGAGAAAAGGATCACTCTTTGCATGTACTGATGCATTTTTAAAGATATATCACCGTCCATAGAGGAAGAATATTGTCCTGATGTTCTGTTGTTAGGCAGCATTCTGATGTGTAAATATATGCCCAAAGATGTTTATTTATTATGTTCTTAACTCCCAGAATATTGATGTGTATTTGTATAAAATGTGAATGTATATATGTAGATGTAAATGGTTGAAATCTTGTCATTGTAAATGCCTTTAACTTAATTTTTTAAAAGAGCCATAAGAAATGTTGAAAATTGTTCTTTTTTTCAGACAAGTGTCTTTACCATGAGGTAAAAACTTGATATTATTGAAAATGTAAATAATGTTGAATTGTGTGAGGTATCCTGATTTTATTTCATTACATGAACATATGGATTACTTGCAGATATGTCAAAATATCCAAAATATGAAAGCTATATGAAACTATTGTAAATGGAATTGTATAGTCAACATTTATGATTTCATGTGTAACCAGAGTGTCTGAGTCATCTCTCAATATGGTATGACATTCAAATGAGATGTTTTAATTCGATACCTTTCAGGTAAATTTAGTACTTCTCCCATAGAGAATCGCAGTAAAGGATCTGATTTTACCAACATTGTTGTTATATACACACGGGATTGATTGTACAAAAACTGTTGTGTGTCTATAGATCTGGAAGCTATTGACCCATGTTTGTTACATGAAGCACCTCATTATCTACAGCACTATGCAAAATGTGTAAATCAAAATCTGGTCAACTTTGTTGTGATACAGCTTGTTTATTACATGGTTATCTCTCTGTGATGTGTGTTGTTGACAACTGGTGTCTTGTTGAAAAATGGTTTTATTGTTAGAAATATTTTTGTGACAACCCAAAGTGAAATTAACAGTGAAAAGGAACTGAACTGTATTTAAGAATGTATACTACTCAAAAAGTTAAGGAACAGCCTCTTTTTTTCAAATGACCATAGTCAATATGTCATGACATGACATATATGGTCATGTAATTATTTGGATTTGATTAAATAAAATTAGATGCACTCCTTCTGGAGCAAAATCATTTGCAGGCACAGAAGTATATTCTATATTAGTTTGATGTGATTGAACTAGTTAAGGTTGCACAAAATTTATAAGGCGCACATGTATTTATGCTTATTTATTCCAAGATATTATGCTAATATTGTTATGAGATGACACGGTCTATCTGTTGTGCCTTAAATTTCAATCATCATCTTGGTGTCTCTTTTAAATTAACTGTATGCATTTATTTGGATTCTCAGCCCACCCTAACATATGTATCTTTTCCTTGTGACAGCTATTAAGTCGAAAATTTGTCATTTCATTTTATGATTTTAAGAGTCGTGTCCCTTTGATTGCTATGTTATACTAATCATGTTTTAGTTGATATCTGTTACTGGTGGTCTTTGTATATTTATGGTGTTAGAGTGGTCCTTTCTGTATGATGTAGACAGGTGCTGTTTGGACAGGGAGGAAGAGTGCCATCCCCGACAGTGAAGGGTGGACAATTCTTCTGTGAACATTGTGTTGAAGCTGTATGCTTTGTGATACAGGAACATCACAGATCCCCAGTATTCTGAAGCTTCATATTTGATCTGCTATTTTTTTAGTGTCAAATTGTTTTAGGGATATTTTTTCATTGTGGACATTTACACCTTCAGGAATGTTTAATCAAACATCTAAATTTCATTTCTTTAACATTTGCTTCTTGTCATCCCCAAATATTTGTAGCAGAGCCTGATATACATATTTACGGTATTTAGGAGTTATTTACGGTATGAGTGTTACTGGGAATCTGTGTTGGACCTCCTGTTAGTGATATACTTCTTGTCTCATGGTCAATACGTTCTCACTGATCACCGGACTATCTGTGATATTGCCGTCCACTATATATTGAAGAAATAAACACATGCATATCACTTGTGGTATTTTTTGTCTTTCTTGCACGAAGTAATAGAGTTAATGAAGAAATCTCTCTTTGTGTTATGACAATCAATACCATAGGTTTGGAATGAACTTGTCATTGCCAATGGCATTCTGAGGGGTTTGCGATACAGGGATGAGATCATTGGGTTGAGGTCATTGTGTGCAGCCGTTCATTCAAGGACAGATACGTAACTTCACGCTTCAGCATGATAATGTATGTCGCTCTTGTGACAGATTTCCAGAGACAGCAACACATTCGGATACTCCCTGGCGGGCTGTTCGCCGGACCTGTCCCCTATCCAGGACGCTTGGGATGAAATGGAACAATGTTTACGTCAAGCCAAGAATCAGCCATTGATGTTAGCTGAATTGGGACCGCGTTGATTCAGACATGGAACGACATTCCCAAAGCTTTCTATAATCGCTTGGTGTCGTCGTCCTTAACGCCCATAGCTTGTCTTCGTTGTCTTAGAGACAACATAAATCCTGGGTGGTGGTCAGACGACTTCGTTGATTGCGTGTCAAGTTTTCATTACCCGACAACGTGAATTGTTGGTCTTATCAATCACTGGCTTATCTGATCCAGACACGATTATTTACGCTCTGCTTTATAACATAACTTGCACAATACTGAGGTTAATGGAAAAACGAACAAATGATACGTAACGTTGGTAGCTTGGAGGTATCTGAATTCATGGAAGCGCCTTAAGGTGTCTTGGCGGAAATGAAGTCCTAACAAGTATGCTATTCAGGGGAAACGGTAGTGAGTACGATCAGCTGGTTCGACATCAATGGCATAAGCCCGTGAAGACCCCAATTCAAGTCCAGACTCAACGTTTCCAAAGTTGCATACAGCGGATTGTGAGGAAACAGGAGTTATCTCCCTTACACTGATACTTTCCACACGTTGGCGCAATACTGTTGGTAGATGTAACTTTACAAATTGTCATTAAAGAAATTAAAGATTATATGACAAGAATATTTATTTAATTTACACATAGAGATTTTCAGTTGACAACCTGCACTGCCTGCCCCCCGGGCATATCAGTCATTTGGTGGATAATATGATGGAGACGTATTAAATCCCCGCAGTTTTGTATGTCATTTGGAACAGATGTTTGTGAGAGAAGTCGTGGATATTGTTTACACTGGACTTGAGTTGGGCAACATGTGGTCCTTTTAACAAAATAGCATCGACCAGCGTATTGGAGATACTGGTACAGAACAAAGAGACCCGAGTTTATTAAGAGACGCAAGATGTGATTTTGTCATGTGATTAAGTATTCTGTTGAACCTGCCCAATTGAGAGTAACATACAAAACGATTTAGCAATGGGTTGAAATTTAGTCAAGCATGAACGTGATAAATCAACTATCGTGTTGCCAAATTCAATAAATAATCGCGTCACGTGGAATCAACAATTTCAAATATCAAAGTGCAGTGGTAAATAAGAGTAACACTAAAAAATCCGTTGAAAACACATGCAATGCCCATCTTGTCTATCTGGGTATTACTGCTTCCAAACTCGAGTGTTCCTGGGGTAATATGGTCCCCAACACTGCGTGTCCACCCAATCGTTTTTGGTCCCAACTCCGATATTTCACGTCATTGTCAGCCACGTGACGAGAGTGTTCTGGTCAGAGCAGTTGGTTGACAGTAGGGGTAGATGCTGATTAAACGACAAATTAGTCACACACGCACTAAATTATCGACTATATCCTACATATACTTACCATTGTTTGATATTTGATCGTAGATAAGCTTATCTAAGAAGATGCGTATACATTTGAAATAAGGTTCTGTTAACTAAGTATGGTTTTACGCCGCTTTTAGCATTATTTCCAACACTATAATTGCGGGGGATACCAGAAATGGGCTTCATAAATTGTACTCGGGGAATCCAACCCGGGTGACTGGCGTGACGAGCGAATGCTGTAACCACGAGGCTGCCCTACCGCCCGGGTTCCTTAACCGTGAACACAATGATGGCTGTCGTGCGAACTGTCGTGGGTTTCAGATCTCTTCATTGGAATAAATCCTCAGTGACACTGAGTGAATATTGTTTAATGTTATAGTGTTTAATGTCACAGTCAACAGTATTGCAGCTCAGTCACACCGGCCTCTGGGCCATCGACCGTAAGCGTCCGAGCAATCAACGCTGTCGGGGATCTATGACATGTCAGAACACCGAGTCTGACCAAACGATCCATTCATGACCAGCATAGGAAGGCGGGGGACACGGAATGACCCATCAACATCCGGGTTAGAATTGGTCTTCAGCAACCAATGCTTGTCGTAAGAGGCGTAACTGGATCGAGTGGTCAGGCTCGCTGACTTGGTTGACACATTATCCTGATTATGTATATATATATACTCATGCTGTTGATCACTGGATTGTCTGGCCCAGACTCCATTATTTACAGACCGTCGCCATATAGCTGGAATATTGCTGCGGCCTTAAACAACAAACAAACAAAGTCTAACACGGAATCCCACGTGGTAAAAAGTAATCTCGTCAGAAAAACACGTGGTCGAGAGCATGAGCACTGGTCCGGGCCGACCACCCGATCCAAATGCTGTGGCCTCTTGAGTCTGGAAATGAAGTATGCCTGTTCTGTGATATACCAGGTAATGTTCCAACCTCAGCAAAGAAGCGATGGTGGTTAACAGTACGGTACTGAAGGAGCTCTGTCCTTCTACTCTTTGCTGAGGGGCTGTGGGGTAGCCTTGTGGCTAAAGCGTTCGCTCGTCACACCGAAGACACGGGTTCGATTCCCCACATGGGTACAATATGTGAAGCCTATTTCTGGTGTTCCCCACCGTGATATTGCTGGAAAATTGCCAAAAAATTCGTAAAACCATACTCACTCACTCACTACTCTTTGCATATCTCTCTAGATTGCAAATCTAAAATATTCTGTAACATATTCTTTTTGAAGAGTTTGAAAAGATACACAGAAGCCAAGTTGGAACATATTACTCCCGTAACCTTGATTTCATGGTTATTTTTACAAATTATGGTGGGATATTATTGTTATGACTTATTAAAAAATATAAATAGTTAAATGACCTGAGAAAATAGTTATTATTTCAGGATATTCTTACCAATTTAAGTGTCAGCACATATGATTAAAGTTAGTGAGTGAGTTTAGGTCTACGTCGCTCTTAGCAATATTCCAGCAATATCACGGCTGGGGACACCAGAAATGGGCTTCACACATCGTACTCATGTGGGGAATCGAACCCAGGCCTTCGGCGTGACGAGCAAACGCTTTAACCACTAGGCTACCCCACCGCCCCACATATGATTGTAAATAACACATAAATGGAAGGCTTGTCCGCGGTTTTCTTTTTAGATCTGGAGAGCATCACTGCCCTACACGTCACACGAACCAAGCTTACCTGTAGCTCTTGTACGCGACTATACCACATGGAAGTGATTTAAAGAAGACATGTGTATTCCAATTTACTTTGATTACTTAAAAAAATATTGTTTGCCTATTTTTTACATGATTATACCTTACCATTCAAACATGCTTTAAATGGTTTGTTAAAGTGTGAGGCCAAATATAATTTTCGTTAAAAACACACACTCCTAAACGTTTACAAATAAGGTCAACTGGAATTTTTCACGAAAACATATCTTTCAGTCTCTGTTATTGTCAGTTAAATACAAAGAAAATTGTCAGTTTAAAACGAAAAGTCCCCGAATAGCAAATAAGTATTTTGGACCAGGTTAATAACACTTATGACTAACATCCTGCCCCGTCTTGTCTATGTACATAATTAACGTGAGACGTTAGAAACGCGACAATTCAACACTAAGTAACACCAGCAAATGGGTCTTATCTGGTAATGATTTACATATATCAACATTTCATTACCACAGCCACCCCGCAGTAAAAGGATATCGTTGACAAAGTTGTTCAGAATATCAATTTATGATTAAAAACTAGCCTCCCTATCTCTGACAATGATGGAGAGGCTACTTGTCCGGATCGAACTGAACACATGAGAATAACGCTTGACAATATCAAAGAGGTGGTCGCCCAGGCTGTGTTGAGAACATATGCGAGGAGTGTTGTGGACAAGTAACCTTGCATCATTTTGTTGGAGATCGGAGAATCTCGGCTTGATAATACTTAGGGGCTGATGTGAATATTTGTTTGCTCCTTGACAGTGCCCTTCTGTAGGTGCGTGGACGAACAACGCCCATCAACATCGTGCCCTGAGTGTTGCATCATTGAAGAAGACTAACAATCTCAAACTTGAGGTGTCGAAAGGCGATTCATCAGTTAGAAGAAGTGTATATATAATGTGTTACCAATGGCAGGTATAAACAGCCTGATGATGGGGTTAATGGTATCGATATTTAAACATTATCTCACAATGTACTGAATGAACTATGAAAGTAAGCTTCTCCAACTCCACACTTACTGTTCCATCATTTCCATGGGCTCTGTCATAGTCCGATTCTTTCACTCACTTATCTAAAGTATGCATGCTGTAGTACACCAATTGACCACCTCCGTGGTCGAGTGGATAGAGCGTCTCTCCATACACCGGGATGTCGGTGGTTCGATTTCTGAGCCACAACCAATCAAACGACGTTAAGATATAGTACTTGTTGTTGCCCTGCCTGGCGAACGGCAACAGGGGGATGGAACAAGGACTGGTATGCTCTTAGACGTATATTGTGCCGAGCATGTCGCCGGACCATCTGAGCACATTTGCACTCTCACAGACACATGCCCTCGTTCACTGCCTGTCTCAGGGAAACTGGCAATTCCAGCAGGCTCTACCATATTTTTCTTTTAAAAGACATTTAATCAATCAATCTAGCAATACATTTTTATATTCACATATTTATATTTCTTACAGAGTAGAAACCACAAACACAATTGGCACGTGAACGTGGAGCATAATCCCTTCCACTTATCACCTGGTTCAGTCTCCATCACATACCCGAAACAGGAACCACGTGCTTGAACAT